GCTAGCTGCTTTAGTTCACGAGATACGAAATATCTGGTGTCTTCGGGGTCGGGGGTTGATCATACCCCGATAAGGGTTGTGATTATGATGTACGCAGCATGCCTATCTTATAGCAACAAAATACGCCGTTGGTGTCAGGTCGCTAGTTGCTTTAGCTCACGAGATACCAAATATCTGGTGTCTTCGGGGTTGGGGGTTGGTCATACCCCGATAAGGGTTGTGATTATGATGTACGCAGCATGCCTATCTTATAGCTACAAAATAGCAACAAAATACGCCGTTGGTCTCGGGTCGCTAGCTGCTTTAGCTCACGAGATACGAAATATCTGAGATTTCTAAGAATAAGGGTAGTTAGCCTCTCATGAAGGGATGATATTTTTTCATATCTAACCAGCTTATCTTACAGCAACAAAATAGCAACAAAATACGCCGTTTGTCTCGTGCCGCTAGCTGCTTTAGTTCACGAGATACGAAATATCTGGTGTCTTCAAGGTCGGGGGTAGGTCATAGCCCGATAAGGGTTGTGATTATGATGTACGCAGCATGCCTATCTTATAGCAACAAAATACGCCGTTGGTCTCGGGTCGCTAGCTGCTTTAGCTCACGAGATACGAAATATCTGGTGTCTTCGGGGTCGGGGGTTGATCATACCTCGATAAGGGTTGTGATTATGATGTACGCAGCATGCCTATCTAATAGCAACAAAATACGCCGTTGGGTTCGGGTCGCTAGCTGCTTTAGCTCACGAGATACGAATTATCTGGTGTCTTGAGGTCGGGGGTTGGTCATACCCCGATAAGGGTTGTGATTATGATGTACGCAGCATGCCTACCTTATAGCAACAAAATACGGCGTTTGTCTCGTGCCGCTAGCTGCTTTAGTTCACAAGATACGAAAAATCTGAAATATCTAAGAATAAGGGTAGTTAGCCCCCCATGAATGGGGGGAATTTTTCCATATCTAACCAGCTTATCTTACAGCAACAAAATAGCAACAAAATACGCCGTTTGTCTCGTGCCGCTAGCTGCTTTAGTTCACGAGATACGAAAAATCTGAAATATCTATGAATTAGGGTAGTTAGCCCCCCATGAAGGGGGGGGGGGGATTTTTTCATATCTAACCAGCTTATCTTACAGCAACAAAATAGCAACAAAATATGCCTTTCATCTGATCTCTCTAACTGCTTTTGCCTCCGAGTTATCGCTGTGGTTTCGCTAGCGTAATATTACGCTAGCGTAACTGGCGTTTTTCCGAGAAATCATGGAGCAACAAAATCAATTCTTGCGGCACAAAATAGCAACAAATTAGCAACAAAATACTATATACCTTTGGATATGGACTTATGAAATTGTTACGCTAGGGTAATATACCTCGATAATATTACGACTTTTCTAAATTATTAAGTACGTTTGGGAGAAAATTCTCAAACTGTAAAAATCTCAGGATTTTTCAATGGAAATCAAGCCTTTTCTCCGGACTTTTGATTTTTTCATCTGGTAACCCTAAGTTATGGGGAGATTTTATATTTATGGGAAATCACTAATAATTACATAAAGAGTGAGAAGAATACACTGACAGACTGACTCATCAATTTACAGCCGAAACGGCTGGACCTAGAATGATGAATTTTGGACAGTAGGTTCCTTTTATTGGCAAGACAGGTAATAAGATGGGTTTTTATGAAATTCAGCCTCTTAATCGTGAAATTTGCAAAAAAACGTTTGTTCGTTGAATTTTATCCCTTGGACATATTGACTGCAACTGCATTATTTAATAGATGTACACTACTGTTACATAAAATTCTTACAACTACCCTCAAAAATACAACATTTCGTGTCAAGTTTGTATGGGTGATCAACCAAAAGTACATAGGATTGATTAAAATTTTGCACACCTACTCTGTATATAATAAAACCGGCCAAGTGCGAGTCGGACTTGCGCACCGAGGGTTCCGTACAAACTCAATTTAATACCTCTACGCGTTCATGATAAAAAACGTAGTAACTTTTAAATTTTCATATAGTAACGGATAGAATACATATACCGATAAATATATAAGTATATTTTTATTTAGATATACATAAAAACATCCATGACTTAGGTACAAATGCTTGTATTCATCACACAAACATTTGTCCCTCCGGGATTCGAACCCGGGGACCTCTGAGTAGGCGGCACCTTGGTAACTGGCGTACATGCCACTCCAGCCTCTGAGGTAGTCAATGTCTGGGGGTCTCCAACACTACCCCAGCCACTACATGACAATGACACTGGATAGTTCCGCAATAGCTTAGTTCCTCTATTGTTTTCCCACAATAAGCCACGAGTTGCCCGGCTCTCTCACACAAACCGCATTATTGCCACAACAGGGCTATGACCCCTGCGCTCAGTCACAAAACAGATGGGTACAGAAGTCAATCTCATCTTTTTTATTTTTTAGCCGACTTCAAAAAAAGAGGAGGTTCTGTGTTGGACTGTTTATATATATATATTTTTTTATGCCGATTTCTCCGTCAATTGTGGACCGATTTCCGAAATTCTTTTTTTATTCATAGAGTGCACTTCCGAGGTGGTCCCATTGGAACCAAGTCAGGATCTGATGGTGGAATCCGGGAGGGAAACCTTCAAATTTCAAAGGCACGCACGATGTTTTTTTATGCATGTTCACTGATTTCTCCGTCAATTGTGTTATTGTTTACTTCATCGATGTAACTTTCACTAAAATTGATGAAATAAAAAAAAATAACAAAAAATAAAACTGCCCCCGCCCGACTTCCAAATCATGAACCAGATATTATTTTTTACTTTTAAGTTCCATTTTCGATTTAGAAGTCGGTTTTATTTTTTATTTAAAAATTTTTAGGCATTTAACTGCTAGATGTTTAATGTGACCATTACTAATGGTCAGTACATTCAGAGAAATAGGAAGAATGGAAATACAAACCAATAATATCAAAAATGTTTTAAATGTTTATGTTATTTTTACTTATATTACAATTTTAAAAAACCTCATTTTACCGTTTTGAATTAAAATAACCGTCCACTGAATAGTTAGGTATAATAACTTTTTTGTTGATCCTCTTTACACAAAAAGATTCACAGACGCGTGTCTTAATGGGATGGAACTCCCGCTTGCGCGTATTGTATTGTCTGCGTAAAATTTTCTATGGAAGGAGCAAGTTGTTCTTACGTCCGGTAGGAGCGCTACTAGTTTTCATAGAAACTTTGGCTATGTGATACGATTACAAAGCTGTCAAAATTCGTGCTTGGGCCTTTGGTACCACGCGGTCCGAGATATCGTGGCCGTGGGTGGTGTCTATGTTTCCTTTGCTCGAGTGCACATTCTATGTAGATTGACTTCTGTACTTATCTGTTTTGTGGCTCAGTTTTGTTCCGCTTGCTTTAACTCGAGTAAGTAAAACCTTCGATTATGCATCCTTTTTGTTGAGGCCAGAGTTTCCTCTGATGGTTTATTTTCCGCTATCGGATGTGCTTTGTTTGATTCAGTACTCAATTGCACAAGAGTTTGGTTGCCGATGGCGGAGGTGAAAAAAAAATTGCTATCGTGAAGTTCTCCGGTTTTAGGGAAATGTTTAAAAAGGTTATTTACTTTTAACTCCTAATTCATGCGATCTGCGAGACGATCACGATCTACGTTTTTAATATGGTTAATTCTGATCTTCTGATCTTAGCATGGTTTTTCAGGATGTATACAGTTTAAGTACACAGGACTTTTAGACTTGACTCCAGTCTCAACTGTTGTCTTTCTGTGACAGACACTCGACCATTCTTTTGTATTTGTCTCCTTTTTCTAATATATGAATCAGCCTTTTATTCTGTTGAAATAATGATATTAGAAAAATGGATACCAGGGCTTTCATTCACACAGAGATCATTGCTTGTGTGACCAAAATACCTGGCTAGCCAGTTTCAAATATTATTTTTTTGTCCCGGGTTGGCTAGCTTGGCTATCTGAACACGAATCACCACTATCTATTTGTGATACTGAAAAAAAAAAATATTTGCTACAGCAATATTCGCCAAGGCGTTCAACCAAGTTCAAACCGGTAACGTTCGTTTGCATCACTGAAACGCGTGTTACTATTGGTTAATCTTGCCATTGCTACGCTCTGATTGGCCGCGCGGCCTTGCCATTCGGCGTACGCGCGAACCGAGGAGCACCGTAATTGTAGTACTACAAATCGGACATTACCGATTGTGTTTAGAACTTTTACACAAAGGATTTGCTTTCTTCCAGCCCAAGGGTTTGCTGAAATGAGAAAGCTAATAGCCCGCCTGATAGTAAGCGGCTTATAGACGCTTGCAATACAAAAAAATCACTTGTGCCTACCCTGAAGTACTGTACTCCGTGGAGCCCTGGCACCTTACTCACCGACAGAAATGTTTCTCAGCGGTCCCTGTCCAGCATTCTTTCTATCAAGTGTGACTAAATCAAATCCTTAATAATGCCCTCACTGCTGGGCACAGACTTTCCCTGTAGATGGAGTAGGGAGTTTGGGTCATGACGCGGGTCCAGTGCGTATTGGTGGGTGCAAACGACTCTGGATGCAGCCGAGACCAACAACTTAACGTGCTTTTCGAAGCACTGAGTTCGAGATAATACATTTCTGATCACCCATCCGATGACCAATCTCATTGCTCACAGTTTAAACAAGATACGGAAAAATCCGTTCTTTTCTAGATCACTAATATATCTTTTTTTCATTGCCTTCGAAGGCAGACCAGCGGAACAGCCCCCTGATGTTAAGTGGTCACCGTTGCCCATGGACATCAGCGATGCCAAGGACACAGCCATGCTGCTGCCTTTCGTGGAACATTCTATTTAAGCCTCTCTTGAAGCGGACCATGTTATAGTACTGGCAGAACACCGTAAAGGCGAGATCAATCCATAATTTTATTGTCCATGGAATCTCTGCTAACGAACAGTCTTCTTTAACTTATTCACACTTTTTTCACTTGTTTGTTTCTATTGTTTACAGTATAAACAAGATACGCACACTCGGTGACTTCGCTGGCTGTCGGCGGCTGCGGGAGCTGTACGTCAGGAAAAATGAAATCAGGGACTTACATGAAATCAGGCACCTGCGTCAGCTGCCAGAACTGACCAGCCTCTGGTTGGATGAGAACCCTTGTACGCAGCACCCTGAGTAAGTCGATTTTAGTATTACGAACAAGGTCATTGAAGATAGGTGGGGTACAAAGATCACTTGGCGACTGCGCTGACTGTCAGCGACTGCGGGAGCTGTACGTCAAGGAGAATGCGATCAGGTACTTGCACGAGATCAGGCACCTGCGTCAGCTGCCGGAGGTGACCAGCCTTTGATTGGACGAGAACCCCGAGCACCCTGAGTAAGTCGGTTTAACTGTTACGAACGAGCTGGTTGAAGACACGTGGCGTACAAAGATCGCTTGGCGACTTCGTTGGCTGTCGACGACTGCGGGAGCTGTACATCAGGAAGAATGAGATCAGGGACTTGCACGAGATCAGGCACCTGCTTCACCTGCCGGAACTAACAGCCTCTGGTTGGACAAGAACCCTTACAGACAGCACCCTGAGTAAGTTGGTTTGAGTGTTGCGAACAAGCCCATCGAAGACTGTTTGACTAGGCACAAAGATTGTCGCTTCTAAACTGATTATACCTTCTTGACGAAATTTAATCAGTTAACTCGGGTTATTTTAAATAGTCTCACCCGTCGGTCGAGGTGAGATGCTTTGGAGCTTCCGGGTATCTCCCTGACCGCAAGGATTAGGAGGAACCCCTGCCTTGGGTAACGTGGAGAGCCTCCGGATCCCACGAAACCCGTTCCGGCAGGCCAGGTCCTAAAACCCAACTGTGCTTACTGTTGTGTTTTGATGAATTTAAATGTATTGTTTTTAATTTCAAATGTATGAAGCTTATGTCAAAACTGGCACTTGTTGCACCCGGAGCGCAGGTCCCAAACGCAGCCCCTTGCACTGCAGTCTGTGCTGCAAAGAACACCGAAGGAGTAGGAGTAGCCATAACGATATAATACTATTCCAATAACAGAACACAGAAACTGGTTAGAAGGGCTTCATGGAGGGGGCGGGCGCGCCGCCGTCAGTTATGTGTGAGCAAATGCTAATAACTTAACCAGAACTTGGTTCTGATTGCGTCGTTGCTCTCGGGTGTGAGCTGCCTTCTATCCTTTTTCTAAGTTCTGTAATTGGAATAGTATTATGTCGCTATGGCTACTCCTACTCCTTCTGTGTTGCGCTTTTGCTGGAACATGCAATAAAGCGTAGACGTTTATGTAAGGAAGGTTATTGCTTTTATTGCCACTTAACGAAGATTTTGTACTTTAATTTCAGATACAGAATGACAGTGCTACGGAATCTGCCAAATTTGGAGAAACTGGACAATGTTCCAGTCCATCCAGAAGAGGTAAATAATTATGCAGAAATTATAAGTCCAGCCGTAGATTTTTTCTATGGCCACGTTATCAACCTTCTGTGTCTAAACAACGGGAACATGAGGTAGCTTCCAACCTCTCGTTGACACCAAGGTATAACACATGTATATACCAAATTTTATACAATCTCTTAATTTTTTTGATCACACTTATATACATGTATAAAACATGTAGTATACAATACTTGCGTCAAACTTGTTGGATAAACAAAATATGTGAAGTAAATAGTGATTTATTCTTGTAAAGATACCCGTTGTCTAATGATATATACCAAATTTTATACAATGTCTTAATTTTTTTGATCACACTTATATACATGTATAAAACATGCAGTATACAATACTTGCATCAAACTTGTTGGATAAACAAAATATGTGCATTAAATAGTGATTTATTCTTGTAAAGATTGTCTATCTGTCCGTTGTCTGTCCCGTTGTCTAATGACACTGCAAAACGAAAGAATGTCACAGCAAGTTTTCTACAAGTTTTGTGTAAAACTAGTATATGACTTGTGTTTCTTGGTGTAAACGAGGGGTAATAAACTAATTCCTCTTTTTTACAACGCCAACAAAATATAGTTAGTTATATGTATAGTCATTCACTTTTATGTTCTCAATTTTGCAAAATGCTTTTTAAGGTTCCGTATCTCAAAAGCGTTTGTTTGTTAAGACCCTTTATCACAGGAACGCGTCGAGGTATCGAGTTGTCACGTTCATTGACGACCTCCGTGGCCGAGTGGTTCGTACGCCAGGTTTCATGGTGTCGCCGACTCAAGAGATCCCTGGTTCGAATCCCGGTGGGGGCGGATGTTTGTGTGATGAATACGAGCATTTGTACTCCAGTCATGGATGTTTGATATGTATTTCTATAAAAATATACTTATATATGTACAGTATATGTATTCTATCCGTTACCCTAGTATCCCATAACACAAGCCTTATAGTGCTTACTTTGGGCCTAGGCTAATTGGTGTGTGTGTAGAAAATATTTATTTATTTACTTATAAGTGCTTGTCGTAACAGCCTGAATTGATTAAGCGTTATTGAATTTGGAATTCCCGTGTATTGTAATTAATCAGCATATTTTAATTGACGACAGTATGTTGTAAAAACAAGCCTTCCTTTGAGTTTTATGTCCGGTTTTTCTCAGTACAGGCACTCCTCGACTTACTTCGTTTCGATTTACATCGTTTCAAGTTCCGTCGAACAATGTTTTGACACTATTCCTCAAGCATTCGTCAATTGTTTCGATTTCCGGCATAGAAGAATTCACTTGTCGCGAGGTCAACGCTTGAGTTTTACATTTAAACATATGAAAAAATATGTCTCGACTTACGTCGTTTCGATTTACGTCGCGTATTTCGAGAACCTAACACGCCCTAAGTACGAGGACTGCCTGTACAAGGTTTTCTGCCGTAGACTTGCAAAGTTGCAAACCGATGTCATAGTGAGCGGACATTCATGAGTTCTTGTAAAGCCTGATTTACGCCGAGGCAACAACATGTGATAGTGCGTCATGCATCATATTTTGGCGTGCGTTATCTGGTGGTATGGTGCAGATTGATAAATTCTGCTTCATTTGCAACATTGAGCAGCCTCTTTAAGGTTAACCTCTAGATAATTTTTTCTGGTTTTTGTTTGCACTATATGTATTAAAATAAATAAAAACAAAGCATTGCGCTATATTATATTAAATTATCAGTGTGGCATGCCGCAATGCCGCAAAGTGTTGCCCCGGCGTAAATCAGCCTTAATATAAGTGTCTTAACTGAATAAAAGATATTGAATTTTAATTTGTAATACTCATGAGATTAATCAGTGTTTTAATTTGTACCATAAGGTCCAAGATGCTATGCGACGAGGCCAGCACATACCGGACTCGGACGACGAAGGATACCCACAGCAGGTACACGGCAATATAAACTCTATTTCCTTTCCTATAAGTAGTATAGTAGCTCAATTAACACTGATACCGAACTTTTTTTAAGTGTAACTTGTTTTCGGTTTTCGGTTTGAAGGTGACTTCAGATCTATCTCTGAAGTCATTTTTCAACTTGACGACTCTGTATGTAACCATACAGGGAGAAAAAAATAGCCCTTGCTGAGTTTCTTGCCGGTTCTTCTCAGTGCAAGGTCTCCCGCCGTAGATTTACGAACCGATGACGTAGAGTTTGACTTTCACAAGAGCTTGTAACAGCCTAAACTGAATAAATGAGTTTGAATTTTGAATTAAGTGTTATCGATAGAAAGTCACTTTTACAACTCCTTTATTTCGTTTTTATTGGAGCTCTTATGTGATAGTGGACTTTTTTGTATACAATTGTCTGTGGATTTAACTTAACTCATTGAAGTATAGAATGAATGTATACGCGAGTAGGTATGATCAGCACAGAAGGCAGTGGACGTGCGAGTCTAGTTCCTACATACTATATGTATACTCATATTTACCAACATAGTTGTACTGCTATGAAATATAGCAACATATATTGTTTTTGTGCGCATACAAGATAGAATTTTAAATCTTTATGTTATATTGATGGTAGGATCGCATTTTGCTTGGCTGGAGTACAACGTACCAGTCTAGCAGTCCTTACATACCTTTTATACGGTCTTTAATAGTAACAATACAATACAAAAACTCTTTATTAAACACCACGAAAAACATTGAACATTCTGCACAAAAACATTTAGTACAGGTGATGCAATAGGCGGCCTTATCGCTTAAAGCGATCTCTTCCAGGCAACCTTTGGATGGAGAGGATTAGAAGGAAGTGGGAGAGACGGCGGTGTAAATCGCTAGTATAATATAATCTATTAGTAAATACATATCATACACATATACATATATAAGATATATATACATAAATAAATACATACATAGATACAATAAGTATAAATACATACATTGACCCAGTCCAGTTTTTAGAACATGAGATATTAAAAATAAAAGTATTACAACGTCAGATAGTGGGACTTCACAAGGTTTTTAAACGCATTAATAGTTTCCGCACGTCTTATCGAAACCGGAAGAGAATTCCATAGATGTACGGCTTGCACTGCAAACGAACGGTGGAAAAAAGCTGTGCCGTGTACGGGAGTCATAAGAGCAAGATTTTATGATGACCTTAAAGATAACGTATTAGAATTATGAAGGAAATTAAAACTTTCCTTTAGATAGCGCGGGGACTTGGGATTGAACAATATGTTGTAAAGAAGAGAAAGGATATAAGTATTCCAGCGAAGGCGAATAGGTAGCCACTTGAGCTGTGAACGAAATTGAGAAACATGATCATATTTGCGCAAGCCAAATATGAAGCGGATACAAAAATTTTGAAGTCGCTCAAGTTTATTAAGCTGGTCCTCCGTGAGATCGAGATAGCAGACGTCAGCATAATCAAGTATAGGAAGCAATAAAGATTGTGCTAAGGCAATTTTGGTGGTGACGGGTAGAAAATTACGTAGTCTCCTAACTGACGCTGCTGAAGCATACAATTTGCAACTGACCACTTGCATTTGCGGGCCCCAGCTCATACAGTTGTCAAACGTTAATCCTAAGTTTTTTACTGACGTACTAAAAGGGATAACATTTCCAGCAATTTCGATGTTGGGTAGTGATTGCCAGTCCACTCTATCTAACATTCTAGAACTACCAATTACTATGCTAGTTGTCTTGGAGGGATTTATTTCCAACCCAAAAGATTTGCTCCACTTAGAAATCACATGTAGATCACTGTTTGTACACCGCACTGCTTCATCAAGTTGACCAAGAGGAGCTTGGCAATAGATTTGTAAGTCATCTGCATATAGGTGGTAGGAAGAAGAAATATTGTTTGAAACGGAGTTGATTAATACAGCGAAAAGAAGAGGAGATAAGACGCCGCCTTGGGGAACGCCAGCAGTCGTTTCGCTCCATGAAGAAAATTTCTCCTCGAGGCGAACGCGCTGCTTGCGCCCATGCAGATAACTGCGAAACCACTCAATCACTGATGGAGATACGTTAAGTGAGCGCGGCAATGCTAAAAGAACCTCAAAGTCGACAGTGTTAAAAGCATTGCTAAAGTCTAACAATGTTAATACCGTAAGGAGACCGTTATCCATCCCAAAGCGTATATCATCGGTTACTTTAAGTAACGCAGTCGTTGTACTATGGCCAGGACGGAAACCGGATTGGAAAGGATTAAAAAGATCGTGGCGAGTGAGGAATGTATTCAACTGGTTATGGATAAGACGTTCAAGAACCTTAGATAGAAAGGGAAGGATAGAAATGGGACGAAAATCGACCATGGTTTGAGGGTTCGATCTTTTAGGAAGAGGAATAATTTGGGCTTGTTTCCAAACTGACGGGAAGACTCCGTTGTAAATCGAGCTGTTAAAAAGGAAGGTAAGTATAGGAAGAATAATATCCAGGATAGGTATCAACATGTTTCGACTGATGCCGTCATTCCCCACCGCATTGGAAGAGATAGAAAGCATGCTATTCTTAACGTCACATTCAGTGAATTGAGTAAAGACAAAAGGAGAGTAGTCAGGAATTGGTAACGAAGAAAGGTAGTTTAAAGTGCAAGACTTCTGAGAGTCACTGAGACTAGAAGAGGAAGAGAATTGAATGTTGAGAGAATCTACGCTGATGCTACTAGGAGTAGAATCGTGTCGGGACTTACCAATTCCAAGTGATTTGAGAAAATTCCAGACTTTTGCTGGATCTTTATTATCGACAGAATCATGAATATGGCGACGCAAGGCATCCCTACACACCAAATTGCAGCGATTTCGAGCTTTTACATAGTTGACTTTATTATAATCGGTCGGGCGATGTTTAAATTTGCTTTTAGCAACGTCTTTTTTATGCATTAGGGCCCTGATCTCTTGAGTAAGCCACGGCGCTGGAACGTGTTTGAGCTTGATGGGACGAAAAGGAGCATGCTTGTTATAAAGCTCGGTAATTATATTATTAAAGTTCTCAACTTGTTCGTCGACGGTCACCGCCCCAATTACCAACGACCAATCCGTATTTTGAGCGTCATCAAGAAACGCGTCCCTATCCATACCACCAAAATTACGCTGAAGAATGACTTTGGGCTTAACTTTGGGAGGACGAATTTTGTAGGACAAGAAGATTAAGTCATGGTATGAAAAAGCATCAGCCGAACATTGACCATGCTTCATAACAAGATGAGGAGCAGAGACGATTATTAAGTCAAGAAGTGAAGGAGAAGTGTTTGGAAAATGATGGGTGGCACTAAGGGGAAGAATATGCAGATTACAAGATCTTACAACAGATTGAAGGGAGGTTGCACGAGAATCATTTTTTAGAAGGCAGGTATTGAAATCTCCCATTATCAATGAGTGGGTATAAGATGGTATATAATCTCCCAAGAGCTGTTCAAAAGAACTAAAGAAGTTAACATTTAAAGAGGGGCTGTAATAGACTCCGAGTAGGACTTTGGTATGTGATAGCAGAATCTCGATAAACAAATGCTCGCCAGCATTAACTGGAGGAGGCTGTGTAGAAGTGCTAATAATAGTGAATGGAATTTGAGAACGTAAATAAATTGCAACTCCACCACCTCGAGAGCCAATGCGATCATTACGTATCATACGGAAACCAGGCAAGACATAGGAAGAAGAGGACAGAGAAGGTTTAAGCCAGGATTCGGAGACTAAAACAGCATGAAGATTTTTGTGATTGAGAGACGCCAGCATATCATTGTAGTGAGCCGGAATACTTTGCGCATTTATGTGAACGACGTTAAAGTTTTTAGGAACATCAGAAAATGTACTATCGAGGCAGTCAGGGAGAGAAGGCAAACTTACAAAACTATCATCTGTGCAGTCGCTTACTGATAGCAAGGAATGAAAGGAGTTATCACTATCCATCCCTGAACAAGACAAAGATCAATTAAATATAATATAATAATATAAAATAAATACGTTTAAATACTAAAAAAAAAAAAAAAAATGGGATAAATAAGCACAAATGAAAATTATGCTCCACCTGCCGGCTGAGTGGAAGGCAGATAAACCTAAATATGATGTAAAAGCGGAACAAAATCAAAGCATAATTAGGAATCAAGCATAAGTAAAACAATAGACGAAAAAGTAGCAATGCAAAAATTATCAAAGATATAAAGAAATCATTTTTAGTTACATTATTACAGTGCACCTCGAAGTCTGTGGATCCAATCATAAAACCGATTTAAAGAATGAAAACAACAAAAAAAAAAGGTGGCTGTATGAACAAAGAATTCTTAGCCTACATAAATCGTGAATTTTAAAAGTAATTCTGACATTAGGATTTCAATACATTGTGTCAAGAACTTGTTAGAAAATTTGTAAATAAATTAAAGGTTAGAAAAAATTACAATAAATAGCTTTACCTTCAATTCATGACGAACGAAGAGATGAAATAGATGGGGACACATTGGGGTGAATGGACACGGTGTTACGATAGGATTCACAGAAGGATTGAAAGATTATAAAAAGGAACACAGACTTGAAGAGACGATGCACCAAAGTAAACATTAACAAGATATAACAAATTCACATTTATCTACTTTTTAACTGCAGCATTGGCCGTACGCTTGCCGTAACTTGACTATCATTAAAGAATAATTGCAGCATACGTATATTATTTGGGTGCAAGGCAAAGAAGAACATACCTTTGATTATAATGTATTAATATAAATTGGTCAGTGGTCAATACAGTCTTACTAAATATAACTACATTCGTATAGTTAGAAACATTGCTACCAATGAAATATTGTTGTGGTGCACGGTTAAGATAGGATTTTAAATCTTTACTTCATAGTAATAAGATCTTTTTTTGTCAGGAATACGGTCAGTACAGAATGCCCGCTGCCTTAAGATTCGAGTCCTTAAACCTATACTGTATAATGAAAGTTAACAGCATTACCAGTTATGTTAAACATACCGTAATATATTTGTGTTTCGTTTTGGTGCACTGACTTACCAAATGGAATTTTAGACCTTAACTCCAAATGAATACGATCACATTTGGCAGGAATACGGTCACTACAGAGGGCAGCGGTCTTGCGAGTCGAGTCCCTAAATATAACTACAGTCGTATAGTTAGAAGCTTTACTACCAATGAAATATTGTTGTGGTGACGGTTAAGAAAAGATTTTAAACCTTTACTCCATAGTAATAAGATCGCTTTTTGGTAGGAATACGGTCAGTACAGAAGGCAGCGGTCTCGAGAAACGAGTCCTTAAACCTATTCTATATAATCATGGTTAGAAGGATTACCACAAAAGTTAAACATATAGCAATATATTTGTGTTGTTTTGGTGCACTGACTGACCAAATAGAATTTTAGTTCTTAATTCCATAATAATAAGATCATATTTGACAGGAATACGGTCAGTACAGAAGGCAGCGGTCTTGCGAATCGAGTCCAGAGCGAGAAAGCGAAGCTTACTATCCCCGTCCCCCTCCACGACAAGATCAGGTAAAGTATATACGAATATAGTCTTTATTGCTTTGAATGATGTACTAAATAAGTGATATTTTCCTATGAAGTCTTTTAGTTGTGAATGCATCGAGTAACTAATACTATTTTCCTATGAGTGGAATTAAGGTTTAGTTTATGCGAATATATAGTTTCTGTGACTGTGAATGAAGAACAAAATAAGTGATATTTTCCTATGAATAGTTGTGAATGCAACAAGTAACTAATACTATTTTCCTATTCATGAAATTTAGGTTTAGTTTATGCGAATCCGCGTTATCCGTGCGGTGACGGAGAAAGAATACAACTCACCGCCCCTTTTCTTCCCGTGGGTGTCGTAAGAAGCGACTAAGGGATGTCGGAGCTTCCATCCGCTCTTCTGGTGGTAGGGTGCCTAACACCCGCCTGGTTTGTTACCACCGTGCGCATGGTGAAAAACCCGTGAAGTGCTTCTCGCGCGTTTCGGGGTCAGCCAGCGTACAACCAGAGCTCGAGTGGAAGTTGTCGCGAAGGATTCGGTCCAGGGGAGGCATCCGTGGAACCGATGCCGGGAGGACTGCATCGACCCGTCGGCCAGGGAGACCCGTAGAAACGGCTGTCCCGCTGGCCGCCCGTGGCACAGTACAGGGGCCCAAGCGTTCCTAACCAGTTCGCGAGGCTGCCCCATCATGTCACGCATAATCTCGGGGTGGACCGTCGTGCCGGTTGGTGACCGGGGCGTGGGGTCCCGGCGGCCACTCCCGGGGGGGTGCGGGGGCCCTTCCGTCCGGCGGGTCGGCGCATCTCCACTGCAGGCAGTCAATCGGGAAGACAAACCCCCCTTATTTGCCCGGACTCTTCGCGACGGCGTCCGCTCGTTTTCGCGTCTCTTTTTTTTTCACTTCCACCATGGCAGCCTCAATAACAAAGTTTGGACGTACAGCGGTGCACACCCCCACGCCTTCAACGCTGTTTGAGGTCGAGTTCTGCAACATACGCGGACTCCACTCTAACCTCAACGCTGTCCACCACCATCTCGAGACAGCACGGCCAGCATTGTTGTTCCTGACGGAGACACAAATACTTCCGCCTGCTGACACAGGCTACCTTAATTATCCCGGCTACGTGCTTGAAGAGTCCTTCAAAGCGAAAGCCGGTGTATGCCTGTATGTTCGGGCGGATGTTTGTTGTCGCCGTCTCCGCTGCTTGGAAGATCCCTCCTTCTCCATGCTGGGGGTACACGTCGACTCTGGCCCCCGGGCCAGAGTCTACGTGTGCCTCTACAGATCCCACACCGGCGATGTTGAGACAACTCGACTTTTTGAACACCTTAGTCGGGCAGCAGATGACGCGCAGGAGCGATTTCCCAATGCAGAATTGGTGTTTTTGGGGGACTTTAATGCTCACCACAATTTGTGGTTAAGTTCTTCCAAAACTGACCATGCAGGGATCTCTGCTCATACATTCGCTCTCACGCATGACTTGAAGCAACTGGTTGATCAGCCCACCAGGATCCCAGATATTCCAAGTCAAGCGCCTTCTTTACTGGACCTTCTGCTCACGACCCATCCACAGGGCTATCAGGTTGTGGTAAGAGCCCCCCTGGGCTCGTCCGACCACTGCCTGATATCTGCCAAAGCACCACAGGCCAAGCCTCCGCGTCCAGCAGTGGTCAAGCGCCGTATCTGGCATTATGGGTCGGCAGATTGGGACGGTATGCGTGATTACTTTGCGTCCGTCCCTTGGAAGCAGCGCTGCTTCAGTGACAGGGACCTATCGGGCAGTGCCGTTGCCATTACTGAGGAGATCATAATGGGTATGGAATACTATATTCCTCATTCTGATCTCATCAGTAAGGGCACACGTAACCTCTGGTTCAATCACGACTGTGCTGAAGCTGCTTCGCGTAAGCAAGCGGCATATCGTGCTTGGATCAGAGGCCGCGCTCTCAAGGATCCCGGGGTCGATTCACTCAAAGCAGCCTACAATTCTGCTTCCAAGGCCTGTAAGAAGGCTTACATCAGAGCGGATGCCCAGCGTGTTGCACGTGTTGGCCAGGAACTTATAACGCATCCTGCGGGCTCCCGTAGCTACTGGCGTTTGGCCAAGGCCGTGCAAAAAAACTTCTGCCAGCCCTCGCTGCCACCTCTGAGATGCCCAGACGGAACACTAGCTCATAAGCCGCAGGAGAAAGCCGATTTACTGGCAAAACTCTTTGCGGCTAACTCCCGAATCGATGATTGCAATGCACTGCCACCATCATTACCTCACTGTGGCACAACGATGCCTGATATTAAAATCAGGCAGCGTGAGGTTCGTGTCGAGTTGCAATCACTCGACGTCCGGAAAGCTAGTGGACCTGATGGCATCCCAGCAGTAGTACTTAAAAAATGTGCAGCGGAGTTGTCTCCCGTGCTCACGCGCTTGTACCAATGCTCGTATTCTTTGGGGCGTGTGCCGGAGACTTGGAGAGATGCTAACGTGCAACCGGTGCCCAAAAAAGGGGATCGCTCGGACCCGGCAAACTATCGGCCAATAGCAGTCACCTCAGTTTTATGTAAAGTTCTAGAAAAGGTCCTTAATAACCATCTGACCCGCTACCTAGAGGATCACTCCTTGATTAATGATCGTCAATATGGTTTTAGACCGAAACGATCGACGGGTGATCTTCTAGCGTACTTAACTCATATCTGGGGTGAGGCTATCGACAAGCGTGGCGAGTCGTTGGCTATCAGCCTTGACATTGCCAAGGCGTTCGACAGGGTCTGGCACAAAAGCCTTCTCTCCAAGCTTCCGGCATACGGTCTGCCAGCCCAGTTCTGTTCTTGGGTAGCTGACTTCCTGCATGAGCGTAGAATTCGTGTCCTTACGGATGGTAGCAGTTCGCGGTTCATGTCAGTGAATGCCGGCGTTCCCCAGGGCTCCGTCCTATCCCCCACTCTCTTTCTGCTGCATATCAATGACCTGATTCCTCTTGGGAATATTCATTGCTATGCAGACGATAGTACAGTGCATGCGGGGTATCTCGGACAAGCAGCGGCTGGGCATGCAGTAACCACGGAGAAACGGGAAAATCTTGTCATTGAACTCAACCAGGCTTTGGAACACATTTCCGAATGGGGTACCAGGAATTTGGTTGGGTTCAATGCCAAGAAAACTCAGGCTTGCGCTTTCACGGCAAAAACATCGCCATTCCTTCCCCTTCCATCTCTTCAGGGCACAACACTACCGCTGCAGAGCAACATTTCCATGCTCGGTATGGAAGTTCGCTCAGACCTGAATCCAAAGGACTACATCGAAACCGTGATCAAAACAGCTTCACGCAAACTCGGAGTCCTGAACAAGGTGCGGCGTTTTTTCACGCCCGATCAACTGTGCTTGTTGTACAAAACGCAAGTTCGGTCCTGCGTGGAATATTGCTCGCACCTCTGGGATGGCTCCGCCAAGTACTTGCTCGATGCTTTGGATAGGTTACAGCGGCGCGCGATCCGCATCATAGGCGATGAGGAGGTGACTAAACACCTTGAGCCTCTTCAATTACGCCGTGACGTGGCGTCACTAAGCGCGTTCTATCGTTTGTACCACGGCGAGTGTTCTGAGGAGTTATTCTCTCTTATCCCACCTTCCCCTTTCCTTCAGAGGACCACGCGCGCTGGCCTACGTTGTCACCGTTTTACTGTGGCCACAATTCCAACGCGTACAAAGAAATTTGGTGACTCATTTCTTTGTCGCACTATCCGTAAATGGAATGCTCTGCCCGCTCACGTGTTCCCTCCCTCTTACAACCTGGGATCCTTTAAAAGAGGCGTGAAGAAGCAACATGCAGGCCGGCAGGGTGAGGATGGCTGGTGTGGCAGGTAGAACTGCTGTATCAGCTATCTTCGCTTCTGGACTTCACCTTCACTTAACATCAGGTGGGGTGGAGTCATTTGTCGGACCTAACTATAAAAAAAAAAAAAAAAAAAAAAAAAAAAAAAAAAAAAAAAAAAAAAAGAATATAGTCTCTACAGCTTCCAATATAGGTACTAAATAAATCATATTTTCCTATGAAGTCTTACAGCAGTGAATGCATCTAGTAACTAAAAATATTTTCCTTTGAAGAGTTAATGTTTATGCGAATATATCGTCATTTTTATTAACAAGACCTAAATTAATTATTCCATTTTAATATTTTAGTCTTCATAAATATTTTATATAACTCCTAATAACATATGAATGAGTTTAATTTTATCTATTATTTAATTAATGAGTACTTTATATCGAATTTATTGAGTGAATTAACTCCTTTTTTGTATTGCTCTGAGTGTTTGATATTTAATTTCATTATATTAATTTTCAGTATTGACACACAACTGATGTTAGTATAAAGAATATGATCGAAAGTATAACAAGGCTTTTTCCATTTTTGTTTTACTATATATAAACAATTATTATTATACACTTATTATTCATTTATTTTGTAAAATGGAACCTTTTGTTTTTGAAACAGACATGAAGTCAACTTTGATACTTTTAAATATTTTATTATTTCACGAAAGTTGTATGAGAATAATAAACACGTAATAATTAATAAAAAAAAATTGTAAAGTTACTGGCTAGTGACAAATATTTATACACATTAAGGGCAGTTTCTTAGCCATGTCCTTTATTTATTTATTGACGTTTCGCAGCCTTTTCAGGTCTGCATCGTCAGAATAATGGCAGACCTGAAAATCCTGCGAAACGTCAATAAATAAATAAATTTCGTTAGTTAGTTGCGTGAAAAGTTAAGAAACAAAAATGTTTTTTTAAGTATTACTACCAGTCATCAGTTGTGTGTCTTATATTTACTATTTATTTATCCGTGTGGTGACTCTCTAAACATACTATGTTTGTGTACTAACATATCGATACAAATAGGGAAGTGACAGTTCAGAGCCAGACCCGGCGCCTGATCCTGCGCCATCCAGACCTGAAACTCAGGTAATGTATTATCTATAATATAAAAATGAATCTCTGAATGTGTTGCTAATCGCAAATCTCGAGAACAGCTGAACCGATTTCGATAATTCTTTTTTTAGAATATTCCTTGAAGTACGTGGATGGTTCTTACGCAGAGAAAAATTAAAAAAAATGCCTGTAAAAGTCCAAAAACAACAATTTTCTATACTCCCATAAAAACTATTCGTAATAATACTTAAAAGTCAATTTGAACTTTAATACCATACCATAAATTTCAAATGTTAGTGGAGAGGTTCTGGGAAAGCAAAACAATTGAGTGACATGATGTTAATAGAAGTTAGGAAAAGGAAAATATATTATTTTCAGTTTTTTTTTATAATTATGTGAAGAGGCGTTTTAGTCTACACTATAGCTCTACACCGAAGCGAAGCGAGGGCGGGCCACTAGCATTAAATAAATATATCTTCCATTTACACTAATTATAAGCCTAGCCACAAAAAAAGCACTGTAAGGCTTTTGTTATAGGATATAATAGGGTAACGGATAGAAAAACATTTAATCATATATAGATAAATATATTATTCAAAATAAAATAAAATAAACAACAGTGTCTCAGGTAAAACGCTCGTATTCATTGTACAAACATTTGCCACTACCGGAATTCAAATTCAAAACCTCAGGCTCAGATAATATTAAATCTTAGTATGTACTTAGTTTTATCCTAGGGAATTTGCGACAGCGTGCATAATTAGACAATGGCGATCTCGCAAAATCCCTAGGATTTTTGCGAAGATTCTATTTATCATATCACCATCAGCCTATTTAAGTCCCCACTGCTGGGGCACAGGCCTTCCCTATAGATGGAATAGGGAGGATACGACAGATACAAATAAATAGCTAATGTAGTGTTATAGAAATTAGATATTTATAATATCATTGTATTGTAGCCATCACCTCCTTCGCCTCGTCGCGCTGCATCGCCAGAAACTGACGAAAGATATGAACATCCAGCCATGACGAGATCTCACTACGATGTGAGTATAATATAATGTCTATATTATATACCTACCTGAATTAACAGTCCCTAAAAATGAAAAATGATTTATTACTTTACCATACATTTGGTTACATAAATAAAGGTAGGCTCTTTTTTTTAAGTGCAAAGACACCTGTACCAAAAAGAACCACTCTTCCATAGCATACGTTACATTATGGTAAGGTCATTAACTATATTAAGATTAAGACAAGGAATTAAATATAATAAAGCGGGAGTTACACCACAGAGCTAGTTAAAGTGAAATTTTACTAAGAATGTGTGAATGACATGGAAATTTACATTATAACAAGTTGTGCAACTCACGCTAATCAAAGCACATCTTAATTACATGAAAATACAATTTAAACAATTTAATTAAGCGGAGTGTTTGTGCATGTGTGTGTGTGTGCGTGTATGCGTGTGTGTGTTTATGTGTGTGTGTGTTTATGTGTGTGTGTGTTTATGTATGTGTGTTTTTGCATGTAAGGCATATATATACTGTATTTTGTAAGTTTCTTAATACTTATAAAATAAAATTTGTTTTTTATTATACATAGATTTATATACCTGTATAAAAAGCCTAAGTTAATATACAAACTAGCTCCCACCCTGGATCTCAACCGCGCTATAGTCATTTTGTTTTCAACACACCAATTAGCCTAGCTCCAAAGTAACCACTGTATAGGCTTGTGTAATGGGTAACGGATAGAATACATATTGTGGTAAATATATATATATATTTATAAAGAAAATACATAATAAACATCCATGACTGGAGTACAAATGCTCGTATTCATCTCACAAACACATGCTCCCACCGGGATTCGAACCCGCTCGAGTTGGCGATAACATGAAACCTCTGCGTACATACCACTGGGCCACGGAGTTCGTCGATAATAGGCTATTTGACAGTATGAAATATAATATACCAAGTGTTGGCATCTGTATTTAACATTAAAAAAATAACAGCGATTTTAATATTCTGAAAGAATAAATAATTATTAACTTTTCTATAAAATCATCATCATCATCTGATGATGATGATTTCATTAATAGGCTGATGCCTGTTAATGTCCCCACTGCTGGGGCTCAGGCCTTCCCTATGGATGGAATAGGGAGTTTTGGGCCATGACCCACTACGCGGGCCCAGTGCGGATTGGTGGGTGCTAACGACTGCAGATGCAGCCGGGACCAACGGCTTAACGTGCCTTCCGAAGCACGGAGGAGCTCGAGATAGTAAATTTTTGGTCACCCATCCAATGACCGACCACTGCGAAAGTTGCTTAATTTCAACGATCGCAGCCGAACGCGCTTACCACTTGCGCCATCGAGCTCCTCTTCTATAAAATCATTGAATATAAATTATTTCTTTGCTCCATGGTCACCTGATCGAAAACGCCTGGGATTGGCCAAGACTAAAATGACGTCACACGCTAGTAACATTACATTGTATCGTTTTACGTATTAATGACAGTCGTGTGACGTTACATACTAGTGAGACGCCATAATGTCCAGAGAAACGTTTCCGCGGCAACTAGAAAATTGATTTTTTAATTTAGACCAGGCAGCAGACTGGACTCGAACCCGCACCATTTAAGCTTAAAAAATATGAATATAACTATAATTGCTATTTCTTTTTTCAAATGTTTCATACTTGTAAAGGTATCATTTGACATTGTGGATTACCTATAATACGAAGAGATAACGCTGCATTGCAGCTTAAGAAATACTAGAGAAAATTCGACACGGTCATTAGGGCCGCGGTAGCATTATGATCAGTGCATCCCCCGGATAGCGGAGGGTGCGAGTTCGAGCGAGACTCGTCTGCTGCCTGGTCCGCGTGTTTTTTTTTCTAGTAAAATTTTCTTTAGATCTATACTTCTAGCAGTTAAATGCTTAAAAAATAAAATATTACCTAAATAATATATGTTACGTGTCATATGTTTATGTTTATAAATAATGAGATTCAAATAATCTATTTAGTCCAGGCAACGAAAAGGTATAGAGGGAAATGCTTAGAACACAATTTTTGACTTCGTGACTTTGTTAGGACTAGTTAGGAGGTAAACATATCAAAAGTCCCCGCCCGTAGCCCTTAAGCCGGGGGGAGGGGGGGGGGGGGGGGCTTGAAGGTCCCATTTTTAGGTTTTTCGCATATATCTCGAAAACTATGCATCTTAGCGACATGAGACTTTCACAAAAGTGAAAGCTGATTAAATTTGCTACAAGTCTTATTCAGTCAAATTTTTTGATATCTTGTATAGTTTTCGAGATAACCGCTCTTGAAAGTCTGCTCTATTTGACCGGATAACTCTTCAACAATGCACCCAAAAAATAAATGCCGGCCGTAGGGTTGTAGAGCATTAAATTATCTTCAATAATAGAAACAATTGCCCTTTTTTTTTATTTAAGGACAAAATTGTTAGGGTTGTAGACGTATGGGGGCGGTACGGTGGGCACTAGGCCGCGTACTCAGCCCCCACGCGCGGGCCATCCTGCGCACGTCTGTGGGGTCCTCGCGATACCCCGGGAGACCCCTGCCGCGGAACCTCGGCAAGGCCGGGAGAATGCTAGGTGCGGAGACGCGGAAGAATTCCTAAACGGGGATTCTGCGGCTTCGCACTAAGCAGCTTAGAGGGTGTACGCAGGGTTTTTTAGCGGATATTATGCCGCAAAGCGCCCGTAAGGGTTACGGGCTCCTCAGTGGGCAGCCACTGCTGGGGCTCGTAAGGCTTGCGGGAGCCAGGTGTGAGGTCCATAAGTAACAAAGAAAGTAAATTAGTGTCATTGAGAAACTGTAATTATCTAATAATAATATCTGTAATAATGATATCCGCTCTTGAAAATCTGTAATTATAGAAAAAAAAATTGCTTTACATTTATGCTCTATTTGACCGGATAACTCTCGAACTCTTCAACGATGCACCGATGTCTAAATAGCACACATGCTCATTTTAGAATATGTACTTGTTGGCCCACTGACCAGGTTCTTCACACTTAATCCAGAAAATAAGTTAAAAAAAACTGTAAGAGTTAACTACTTTATGCAAAAAAGGTTATTATAAATTAGATGATTATTTAAATGATAAGATTGTCTGGTGTTGTATTGGTCCAGCTCAACACAAAAAGTAGTATTAAGAATAATTAAAATTATAAAACAGGACATTAAAAAAAAATGAGACGGTAGGGCCCTGTGCCTCTGGTTTTTTTCCGGTTCTCATTGGCTATACAGGTACGAATACGGCAGTAGTTTTAGATATAATTCACTATGACGTGCAAAAAGAGATTTGTAAAAAAATTCAACATAGTCAATTTCTTGCTCTTTTGGGGTGGGAAGGACCTTGATCCTCGTCTTCGTTTACATTTTCTTTTTCTGTGTCATCTTCTCCATCGGAACCCTGTAGGGAAACGGTCAGAGGATCCTCCTGTTCTTCTTCACCTTCGGAGTCAACTTGAGGGACCCCATTCAAGCAGTTCCCCTGGCAATTTTGGCACGCTGGGGAACATTTGAGACTTGCTTTTATGCAGCCTCACTTCGCGCTTTCACAGTCTTTCGTGCATCGACAGAAAATCGAAAAATTATATAATAGGTAGTGTTGGTCGTGAACATCGCCCCCGGCGGTGTAGACACCTACTTATTTAGGTAACGGCCAACACTGCCAGTTTTCTTACCGGGCGACGCAGGCACCCCCTTTAGTCAATACGTCTACTACCCCCTTTTTTTTATACGCAGGCAAAAAAATACTATTTACAGACGACGGCGCCTTTAAGAGGCACACCGCCGAACGGACCTCACACCTGGCTCCCGCAAGCCTTACGAGCCCCAGCAGTGGCTGCCCACTGAGGACCCCGTAACCCTTACGGGCGCTTTACGGCATAATATCCGCTAAAAAACCCTGCGAACACCCTCTAAGCTGTTTAGTGCGAAGCCGCAGAATCCCCGTTTAGGGATTCTTCCGCGTCTCCGCACCTAGCATTCTCCCGGCCTTGCCGAGGTTCCGCGGCAGGGGTCTCCCGGGGTATCGCGAGGACCCCACAGACGTGCGCAGGATGGCCCGCGCGTGGGGGCTGAGTACGCGGCCTAATGCCCACCGTACCGCCCCCATACGTCTACAACCCTAACAATTTTGTCCTTAAATAAAAAAAAGGGCAATTGTTTCTATTATTGAAGATAATTTAATGCTCTACAACCCTACGGCCGGCATTTATTTTTTGGGTGCATTGTTGAAGAGTTATCCGGTCAAATAGAGCAAAAATGGGAACAAATTTTTTTTCCATAATTACAGACTTTCAAGAGCGGTTATCTCGAAAACTATAAAAGATATCAAAAAATTTGACTGAATAAGACTTGTAGCAAATTTAATCAGCTTTCACTTTTGTGAAAGTCTCATGTCGCTAGGATGCATAGTTTTCGAGATATATGCGAAAAACCTAAAAATGGGACCTTCAAGCCCCCCCCCCCCCCCCACCCCCCGGCTTAAGGGCTACGGGCGGGGACTTTTGATATGTTTACCTCTTAACTAGTCCTAACAAAGTTACGAAGTCAAAAATTGTGTTCCAAGCATTTCCCTCTATACCTGTTTTGAGCATTCGTTGCCTGGACTCATTACACTGTTTGACAATCATGATGTGAATTTGTTATAATTTTATATCATGCTCAATGAATGGGATAATTGTAGAAGTATGTGCGGAAAGGGCGTGGCGAAAAACGGAACTAACATTAAGATTTTTATTTGGCAATCAAACCCAGCAATCTGTAAAATGTCAAAGTTTTGTATTGATACGGATTTGTTTGTTGTCGTGATTTCTTGCAGTTTTTTGTATTTAATTATATCTAAAAGGGGTAAAACCTTACAAATACGGTAAAATACACTACAGCGCCCTCCAATCTAAATCCCATTCTCTTTCCGCACAGACTCTAATAAGTTTTTTTCTTCTCAACGCGACAATTAATTTGCACACTCAACTAGGTAAGAATATAGGATGCTCTTTATCTCTGTATTACCATTTGTTACCATTTTCTGCAAATAAAGATGATTATGATTATGTTTGTTACAGGCGCGTACACCTCGTTCCCCAGAGGCCGCCCTTCGTCATTCCCTGTCAGCGCACAGCGTAAAGGTAAATGCTATGATGTTTTATATTTATAGTTACGGCATACACGCTTATAATATGACAATACGAAAGTCAGATATAATGCGATTCAACTAAGAATTGGACCGACTGGGCGCCATATTGTGACGTCATAGCTGTCAATTCAAACCAAATAGGTAGAGTTAGCAAAAAAAGTTAAAACTGTACATTGAATATTTTTTTAAAAGAATACTTGTGGTCTGATCTACAATCGATACCGGAGCCAAAAATATAGTTTTTAGAATTTTTGTCTGTGTGTCTGTATGTATATCCCGGATAAACTCAAAAAGTACTGCATGGATTTACTTCAAATTTGGCACGAATATTATTTAGAAGTCGGGTCAACATATAGGCTACATATTATCACGCTATCACCTACGGGAAACGAGCAGTGAACCTTTATATCTAAGTAACTCCACGCATACGAAGTCGCGGGCGGCTGCTTGAGCATCATCAATATAAATATAATTTAAAGAAACCTAACCGACTTCAATGAACTAAAAAGTATGAATTTAGTTATACTTTTTCGCAGGACTACGCGTATGCATCGAACGGCGAATGCAGATATATTTCGTCCCCACCTCACCAATACCAAGAGCCATACTTCGAGAGACCGGAAAGGTAAAAAAAAACAATTGTCTTAAAAAGAGATGTTTACAAAAAAGCAAAGACCCTGCACAGATATCGATTTTCGAAGTGAAAACTTCTTTAGTGGCGTTGTACACTTTTTTTTGTATGGGTAAAAAATGTTTAACTCGCGTCAGGTTGAACACGTGGGCTGATCGCATCATGACAAACAATAAAATAGGAAAGGTAATACCTTTAAATATATTGCACGAAACATAATAATATTTTATTTTATCGTCTTATAATAATAAGACTATCTAGGACGTCCACGTGGCAGCTTTATTGCGAAGAAAATGCATTTTTTTACAATAGATGTCGCTAGGTGCGCTTAAATGTGATTCATGTAAGTTGATTTTTCTGAGATATAAACTTTTTTAATGTAATATAAATTGTCATGTTTGTGTACTATAGCGCAATAAATAAATATTGTATTCTACCACATACATGATAGTACTTTTATACTGATAATTAAAGCAATTCGTGCAAAATTATTCCCTAACCATTCTAAAATATCAAAAATGCACAACGTTAATATTTAAGTTTTCACTTCTGCCGGCACTCCCGGAGTGCAACCCGTCGTTTTTTATATAAATTACGTATATTCATAAAAAAATATATACGCAGTTTAGTTTCTTTGTAGGAAATACATGATCCTGTAAAATCTATTGGTCCAAAGCAAATTGGTCTTAATATTGTAATAAAAAATATACATGCTACCGCCATTATGAAAAGTATGGCTAAAAAGTTAAATTTTGTGATAATAGTATGAAGTTTTATTTTTATTATGCCTTAATAAGGCATATAATTGCTAGATAGATGTTTAAAAGATAATCTTTACAGATTGTATGAAGTTGTTTCTTAACTATTTATTGTGTATGCTTCAAATCGGTCTGCAAAATAATTGTACAGTGTCATAAATGGTTTTAATAAATATTTCATATTTCAAATATTTCATTTCAATCAGACCAGAGTCATATCAGCAAGTACCTCAACGTACTAGCGGCAGTGCGGGCGGTACCAACGAGTGGGAGCGGGACAGAGATATCGCGCGCGAGCGAGATAGAGAATACCCTTCTGCGGTGATGGCAGAACATAGGGGGTTTACAAGAAGACCTGTGGCTAGGGTGAGTTGTTTAGCTAATAAGGGATATAATCTGTTTATATTATTCGAGGTGAATTGTGGTCGAGTGCATGGGATTTTCACCCTAAAGTAGTATTCTAATAATACTTTAACTGCTTTTGATACTCGTCTGACAAAGAAGTTGGTAGGGCGAGTAAGAGCAAGAGCAGTTAGGTTTATAATCGCTTAATATTGATTTTTGGATTTTGACAATGGCAAGTTATTGTATTGTGAAATTCTGGTCGAGCTTATTGTTGCTAGAATGAGTTCAGTCAATGAGGGTTAGAATCGCTTGAGATTGATGTTTGAAAATGAAAGCAAATTGTATGAAGTATGTTGTTAGAGTGAATGGAATTTTCGCCCTAAAGTCTAGGTAATCTTTGAGTGTTAACTAGGGTGAGATGTGGATGAAATAAGGTCGATAATCGTTTGAGATTGATGTTTTAGGAATTATATGGAATATTCTGTACGCGTGCATCATTTTCGCTCTGAAGTCAATTTAGTCGGGGCATTCTTCTCTTGTAGCCTTGTTTATTTAGGTTCGCCAAAAATGATTTTCTGTTCTAAAAGTGTTTAGCCCATACTAATTGTACTTTTCAATCTTTCCAGAATTCGAATCTTCTATCGGCTGTGCTATGCTTGGTCAAAGAACTAGATTACCCTAGCCTGGAAGTCGCCGAGATGGCTGTCAGGTAAAAACTGTTATTTTGTCTATTATTTTCGTTTTTTTGCTCCTTCAATGGTTAAAGTTTCGTCAATTTTTCCAATTTGAATTTGGAATTATCTTTTTTTGGAATTTAAACTTTTTAATGATACCAAAACTAGCCAGATGCAAATGGTATAGCCAAAGATGTTTTATTACAAGTTCATACATACTATAATGCGAAAAGACTTTTTCTTCAACCTATTATGTAATATTCAACTTTAACTAGTTCTGTGGTGCAACTCACGCTAACAGAATTGATTTTTTCCTAAAAAAATCTCTCTTTAGTTATATTCTATTTCATTATTTTCGTTCTCTATAAACATTAAAGTTCAGGGTTCTTTATTCCAAAATGTTGATTTTTTCTTAAACCTTAGGCTGTCTCTGTCTTCTCTTTAGAAAACATAGATGACAGCATCAGTTTAGAACTTGTAAAAATATTAAACGTCTTATTAAAATGAACTTATTAAATAAGTTAATTTGTAATAAGACGTTTAATTCTTTTAAACCCGCTTGAGAGTCTATGGACGAGGATTTTTTACAGATATGTGATAATATTGTTTCCTCTTTTAAGGTGTCGTATGGACGAACTTGCTAACAGTCAGTGACCCCGCGCCGGTGCTTCGCCGCCCGAATCTAAACCTTAAAGCCGAATTTACATTGCGAAATTAGTGGCATGAAAGTAGTGCCCGTTGACATAAATTTTGTCAACAATGAGGATCATTACTAGATCAGCAAATCATCTCAAAGTCAACAGTATAATGATCTAATAAGCTTTTTTTAAATATTCATTTTAAATCATCGAAATCGGTTCATTCGTTGTGATTTTATAACAAATTTTATGGTAGCCAATATTCACCGGGGCCGAAACGTGTGACGTCACAGAGCTCGATCGTGGTTCAATCCGGTCGAACTTCAGTAGCGTCTTCACGTACGCTCGCGTCCGAGCGCTAGAACTCAATGACGTCACAGTCACCACGCGGCCAGCCGAAAAATAGTTTAGTAATTTGGTCATAACTTCGTCAATATTTGTCGTAAAACAAAAATTTTACTACTGTATTTTATGGAATCCTTGGCTCTATAAATATGCATTCTCAACTAAAATCGTTACGGATTCTCATTAGAGTAGCCCTGGAGTTTCACGCGCATTACTTTGAAGCAATAGGTTAAAGTACATCCTTAAAAGATCAATATTTGCTGCTGCAGACCTTTGTTCTTTAAATTTTAAAATTTTTCATGAAATTATTGTCAACGGGATTGTTATTTTCATGCCACTAATTTCGTTATGTAAATTCGGCTTTACTCGACATCACTAGACTCACATTCGAATGCCATTAGTCAATCAACACTTTACTGTGTTCAAACGAAGCTACAATTTAAATAATATATACTCATACTAGATATGTTTCAATAACCAACCTCCAGTAAAAGTTAAGGATTCTATATTGAAGTGGGACTTAATGCTCATAACTTGACCATAAATGGTTCTGTCTGATTGCGTCGTTGCTCTCGGGTGTGAGCTTTGATTGGAATTGTGGTTCACTATCACAATTCGTTTAGTCACAGTTGGACATTCGAACACGCTGCATTTGCTCTCAATTATAACAATATTGCGTATATTCTGTGTTATAAAGATAAAACAATGCCTTCGATGCTTTTATAAAGGACACAAATAGTTCAAAATCAAATAACAAATGCCTCGGCAACACCTTTTGTCGTGAATGTTATTTACGTAATCGCCTTTTTGTTATCAAGAAAAGTACAACAATACAGCTCAGCCGTGCGGATTCGGAAGTGAACTTGCCGTTTCGCTCGCGGTGCGTTGAAGCATACAGTTCTGTCTCGCTCGCTCGATTGAATGTATTTACAGTCGTGTGCGTGTGAGAGTTGCTTATGTAGTTGAGTCGGGTCATATTTTATTTGATGCTGGTGTGAGCGTACCGTATCTTCCCTTTTTGTTTTTATCTAAGATCCTAATACATAATAAAAATATCTAGGCAAGAAAACTCTTATAAGCCAATCTCTTATTGGAGGTTGGTTATTGAAACTGCCTCTTAAAATAAGTCTTTGGAGTTAGTTTATTTTGGAAATAGAAATACACTAACGAATGTCAAGCGACGTTTTTAAAGGTCTCCTATAGGATGGGTGACCAGAAGTATGACTTGAACGAAAAGCATATAAACATTTTATTTTTGATTTGTTTGGCTTTAAAACCCTTGTATACCTAACTCCAAATTGCTATCACTATACCTTTCGATTTAACTATTAAACTATTACTTTAATGAAACCATAGAGGTATAAGAATAGAGTAGGGGAGATACAGACTCTACTACAAGTGGAAGTGTCCCTCTAATAAAAAGAGAAAGAAGATGAGAGACCGCTAGCTTTCTCTCTCTAATCGCGCATGCGCATTGGCAACCGTAAGCATCTTACTATTTCGATGTGATGCCATTGGATGCCAAGCGTCGCAAGAGAGAGAGATAGCTAGCGGTCTCGCATCTTCTTTCTCTTTCTACTAGACGGACACTTTTAGAGTCGCCTTCCCCACTCTATTCTTATACCTCTATGATCGAAACACGTTTGTGTTAATGTGAGAAAAAAAAGTTAATTGAAAACTTTTTTACGGGTTTAAACAATGAAATTGTGAATTATTCTAGATGAGGAATCCTTAAATGTTAAGGATATTCCAAAATAAAGGATATCCTAATATTGTGTACGTACAATTTGTGTGTATGTATAATTTGTATAATAGTGTAGGTAGTGTGTATAATTTTTTCATGAACTGTATGGGTTGTGTGAAGTTTTTTTTTCATATGATTTTTTATTTTTATTTTTATACAGTTACATTAAATGTGACATGAAAAAATGAAATTATTGTTTAGTTATGTTTGCTTGAGACTTTTCTTCATACAATAAAATTACGAGTTACTGATGTTGGCTTTAGATATTTAGTTCGTTAGGGTCACGTGAGGAAAAGTATAATGAGGGGCAAAGTTTAACAAAAGAAATATATCTGGGCCGGATTTTTTCCGTCTGATGACAGATGCTTAAGATGGCGGCTTAAGAAACTAATAAAACCACGTCAAGACAGACCAAAGAGAAAAAAAAAGCGAGTGTGCGTGTATAGTCGTCAATCACGACTGACAGTGAAACTTCTTTCGCTCCATCTGTATGTATATTTAAATACATTATAATAAAATGGTAGGAAAGTCAATGTTACACTGTCCCTCACTTGACCTGTTTATTCGGTGTGATACGGAGTTTAATATTGCTTAAAACGTATTTAGTTACAAGCATAGGCATAAGGCATTTACTGAGCGACAATGACATGAAATCGACAATTCTGTATAATAAGAGAAAGCTGTGATGTAGACTATACCCAACGAATTAGAAATAATATGGAATACGAACTGCGCTAGAAAATGGTTCCATGCAAACTGTGATCAAGTGGGCGGGGTGATAAAACTGCGATCAAATGAACACGCCGATCATAGGATTGGTTGGTTTGACAATATCTTACTAGAAATAATATGGAATATGGCCCTAAAAATGGTTCCATGCAAACTGCGATAAGTGGGCTGGCTGAAAAAACTGCGATTTACACGCCGATCATCGGATTGTTTCGGATTTCGTTTGACTGTCCTAAAAATGGTTCTCTGCAAACTGCGATCAAGTGGGCGGGGTGATAAAACTGCGATCAACACGCCGATCATAGCATTGGTTGGTTTGACAATATCTTACTAGAAATAATATGGAATACGAACTGCGCTAGAAAATGGTTCCATGCAAATTGTGATCAAGTGGGCGGGGTGAAAAAACTGCGACTTACACTCCGATCATAGGATTCGCTGGTTTGACATTAACTTACCCAATGAATGGACAGCCGAATTTATGTGCAGATATTTGATTTGTCAAACTATTTTGTTTTGTCTGTGTTCGTGTCGTTAGTATTGAAGTTAAGTTGTATGAGTTTAGAACCATGTTTTAGAGGCCTTTGTTACAGTCATGCTTCCATATCGTTTCTAATTCGTTGCCTATACCTTTATGAAAAGAATTATTAGCCGCACGAACGTTTCGTCTCTTTCACACTCGTCTGCCCAGTTTTTCTTTACACTTGGGCAGGGAAGGCTCAGTCCTTTCTTTATGTCTATGTATGTAGTTGATGTTTACATGATTACTTTGAGACTCACTAGATGGTGTTGATTAAAAAAACGTTTTTTCTCACTTAGATCTCGCGTGTTATCGTTTCTGCAAAATGCAAAATTAGTTGTCGTTAGGAAGTAAATAAAATCATACGATTCGGTATACTGTCTGTGTTATACTCAATTTTTTATACTTATCGTTGGTTAAATTGTTTATTGAAAATGTTTTAAGCGTCTTTTGTTATTTTACATACAATTTTTTTCTGTATTTCGCAATGAATTAATTTTCACTAAACCTTTGTTCTTAGCTGAACTATTTGATATATTATTTTAGCTTTATAATCAAAAATTTTTGTGAGAATTGTTTACTAAATAGGAGGCTAAGAGGAAAAGAAAATGGTACATTAAGTGGCAGCTGTTAACACCCACTAATCCGCAATGGGCCCACCGCAACTGGGTGTCTCAATATCCCTGTTTGTTTTGTTTCAAGGGACGGACTCGTAGTGGGTTACCTTATAACATTTTAATAATGATATTATCGCCGTAGTAAAGAATATCTACTTCAAAAATTTTCGCGTTTTAAGATGCGTGACATCTCGTGTTGTGACCACGAAAAGAAACGGTAAAAACTATATGAAAACTGTGTTTTACTGAGGTATTTTTGACGTGATAAAGCCGTATAAATCGATGAACATCGGCTGCACGCACGAAAGAGCGAGAGCGCGGAACAACCGATAGAGAGGCACGATCGGCCCAAGCGTCGGCTTGTACACATTTATCTCTATTCTCGCGTGACGTCAAAGCTAGCACTTACGCAATTTTTCATCAGTGTACCTATATGAAGTTACCCCGTGAAACTATCGTCCGTAGATCGACTTTACAGTCGACCATTTTTTTTCCGAATTTTGGTGTTTTTAAGAGAGGTTATAGGAAGGGCATAGCGGATTTTCCCCTCGAATTGGAGCGCCCGTCTTGGGAAGTAACATGCACCTTACACAGAGGCGGCGTAAGGCGTGGGCGACGTGGGCCACCGCCTACGGCCTCGCGGTACAAAGGGCCTCGCGGTACAAGGGGCCTCGCGGTACAAGGGGCCTCGCGGTACAAGGGGCCTCGCGGTACAAGGGACCTCGCGGTACAAGGGGCCTCGCGCCTCAAAAAATTTTTATGCATTGCTTAAAAGCGATTTTCTTTTTTTTTATTATTTTATTAAATCCGTCTTCAGGTCGCCACAGAACAGGGCCTCGCGAAATCTGTCTTGGCTACATCAAATTTAGGTCTTGCCCCGCCACTGACCTTACAGGAGTCACAATAAAATATCACTACCTCTTGGTGGTGTTGTGTTACTGTCGGTTAGTAAGGTTCCAGGGTATAGTTTTGAGTCAGGGTTGGTAACGCTGCGAATGATATTTTTTGGTATCGCAAGCTCTATAGGCTATGGTGGCCGTTTACAAACAGGCGGTGCTAGTATGCCACCCTTTTCATATAAAAAAAACGAGCGAGCCTTACACTAGTCTGCGTATGATGTGTAACATTTTAAACCTCACCTTATATTAGTAGAATAAATAAATAAACCCTACTACAAAAAGAAATAAGCCATTTGAATATAATGTTCTAAAATCAAGTAGCGCGCGCTTTCGCGACTTCCTGTTACACAGTTCCGTCCCATTTCACGAAATCCCCTCCACAAATTGCAGGAAAGTGAGAGGAAAGATGTTACACATCAAAAAGTTATTACAGCAAATTTCAGATAACGCAAAATGCACGTATTTTTTTTTCACATTTTGACCCTCATCTCGAATGTATACAGTTTCAAATAGTTTGCAACAGGTTGTATAAGTCGCGGCACGAAACTCTAGCGCTGACCGTTATTGCGCAGAAGTAAAAATTAAGGTGTCTTGGGGGGAAACGAGGTGCGCGGGCGGGCGTGCGTTGCGCTGATTGGCTCTCCAGTCGTACCCATGCGCAGCTATCCCTGACGCGTTTTGTTCAGCGCTAGAGTTACGTGCCGCGACCTGCACCATTCAAGGGGTGTATTCCGAAATATACATCAGTATACTGGCCAGTGGTAATGACGTCACGAATCCGACGCCGTATTGTACTGGTATGCTACCATATTTTTACCGGGAAAACGAATATGACGTATGACCGAGCGTGCGTGAGAAGTATTCAAATTTTTATTTCTTTTTTATTTAAAGAACAATAACGGCATCCGAACAAAAAGAATTCCTTTTAATTGATGAGGTGAATAAAAAAATATTCTTTATTCGCACTATTTTTAATATTTCGTCGATTTATGACGTCAGTGTACTTGGCCAGTATATTTCGGAACAATTCACCAGTATAGCGTAGATTCATGACGTCATTAGTACCGGCCAGTATACTGGTATATATTACCCAAAGTCCCGACTGAACAGTCCGCTACATATAAACTTCCCACACAGTATTTCCTTTTCAATCAATTTTGAATCTTACACCGGACGAAGTAAAGCTCAAAGGCATTCGTCCTAATGATTCTAACTACGGCACTGTAGCAGCACTCATATCATTGTAGAAGAGAGATAGCTGCTGGATTTTTGTTTCTATACGAATGTTATACCATAAAATGGGTTTCATTTATGTCACGAATAAAACATATTCATGATATTTTGTACACGCTTTAATTTTTACTAGAACTACAGTCAACGTCAAAATTGAATGCACGAAAATGTTTAAAAATACTTATTTTTTATCTCTGCCGTTTCTGTTATTCTTTATAGCTTAGTATTCCTTTTATTAGTTGTTTATTAGAAGAAAAACAAAACGAAAATTGTTGTCGTTATAGCTTTAAATTCGTTTAATTGTAACAAAAGTAGTGAATAAGTTCTTGCTTAAATAGTTTTCTATATATAATGTTATTATTAGTAGTTTTCCGGATCTTCTTGATGCTTGTTAAAAGTTTAGTAAAAATTATCTATTGTAAATATCGTTTTATGTATATTGGTTGAACCAAAATTTCATATGTTCTACAAAAATGTATCAAATACTTAATTTTGTCGTTGACTGTACTTAAAATTGACATTGACAAAAAGACATGTGACGTGTGCAAATTTTCTACAAGGAAATGTAATCTTTAAATCTACTCAACTAAGGGTTTTTTTTTGTTCAGCAGAGGTTGTTTCGTAAATTTGAGCCGATTTTTCAATTTTTGGACGAATATTATCATCATGAATTGCCCAATCTAAAAGGAAACAACATCAAAATTAAAAATTATCCACTAATGAATACAACTCTTCATTTTGTCCGTATATTACAATTCAGGCAAACAATATTTATCCAGAGATTGAAAAAAATGCCCATAATGATGAAGTATTGTAAATTATTAAAGTATAGGTAATGAAATAATACAATTAACTTGCCGTGACTATGCTTGCGTTTTATTTGTCATTTCTTCCTACCCTTTAGGTATTACCTTTAAGTTATGAAATCGAGACGCAGGATTGGCTATAGTAGAATTTATATTTAAATTGGAAAGGCCAATGGTTCGAAATATTGTAGACGCCGATGTAATCCCCAACTTCAAGCTTCAGAGATTGTTACTATAAATAAGAAACATAGTTGGACCAAGGATACTACCCTGTGGAACGCCATCGTAGGTTTAAGTAAGTATCGCTCATTTTTAGGGTTAGTCCTGACAAGGAACCCTTATAGTTTAGTCATTTCCGTCTGTCTGTACGTTCCCGGTTATGCTTGGAGACTGTTAGAATAAAGACTTCTGTTAACATATATTGTGGTCACGACAGGCAGCTACGGAACCCTGCCACCCTTTTTATTTATTTGAAGGCTTAAGATCACAAAAATAAACAGCAAATCATATAACTTGAAACTGTTGAAAAGCTAGTACACATTAAAAACTTTATTGACTGAAGATAGAAAGTGTCAGAAACAAAGTAAATCAGACCCAAAAGGTTGCCTGCTTCTAACAACGATATATCGTTGGCTTCGAATGTTAAAATTGCAGTTAGAACTGCAGGAAAATGGACAGTATTATTAACTTCAATATTTATTCAAACGACTAAAATATCTCGCAATGACTTTGATTTGAAGCATTTTCTGCTGAGATTTTTTGTTGATAAATTTATACCTTTGACGAAAAATCTCGCCAATACCTTAAGACTCAATGACACGGGGCGAGCTTACAAGCTCCAAGCCAGCGAGTTTGCTAACAGCTTGTAAACTCCTCGCCCCGTGTCATCGAGGCTTTAGGCTTATACAAATCTATGAATACAATGTCTATGATTTATACATTATGGCCATTTGTCATTCCATTTTGACAATCACCGACAGCGCCTTTAGCTTTGCTCCTTTGTGTCCATCGGTCGCTTTTTCTAGCGATGCGGAGCAATGAGAACCGGCGGAAACCAAGGCTGCGCGCCTTTTACTGATAAGCTGGTAAGTATTCTATAAAAAGTATTTATTTAGGCACCAAAAAGTCACTTCTAAGGCAGATTTACACGTCATCAGTTACCTAAACTCCAAATTCTAGTTAAATCTGTGCTGAACTTGGCTGAACCGATACTGGGATATTGTCAACTGGGAGTAAGGGCCGACGTTACGTCACTATTTTCAAACATTGGCTACCGTGTAAACGGGGTTTTTAGTATGGTTAGGTAAGTTTACCATTTGGGGGAGCTTTTGCTATGCAATGTCTGTACATATTATGTTGAGAACAAGGAGTGCTAGAACTTCTTCTTCCAGGGCCCAAAAGTAAAAACTTCACAGTTTTGTTGGTTGTAATTTCGCATTTTTGTTGTTACAAAGGTTTCTGTTGACCACATTATTAAAAAAAATGTCACACTTATGCACTGCTAGTTTTTTAGAAAAAAATATTGAAAATTTTTACTTTTCTTATCAAGTGATGATATTTCACACTAGGTTAGGTTAGGTTAGTGTTGTGACCACAACGCGCGAGCCGAGCGAGCAAAGCGAGCGTGCCGCGGCAGCGGCCGGCGAAGCGCCAGAAAAAAAATCTGTTAAAAAGACCTTTTCTACAAAAAAAAAACAAGTAACACCTTTTGGGCCCTGGAAGTACAGTTTTACCGAAATGTGACTGTCGCGATTGGGTTGGAGAAGTATACCTACTGGGAAACATGTTCTAATCTAAGGCCCAATTCATACTGGAATAGCAGCGGCCGGCCATCTTTCCCAGTGGGCACTTTGGGCAAGTGCCCAGGGCCCCGCGATCGATAGGGGCCTCCCTCAGATCAAATACAAAGTCCCTAGTTCGTAGAGGCCCCATTATCCTAATACGCCCAGGGCCTCCAGTAGGCCATAGACGGCACTGGTGGCGCCTGTTTATGTAATAAAAAAGGCAAACAAGCCCGCCTGTTGGTAAGCGGGCGCTTTAGCGTATAGAACACAGAAGTTAGAAGGGCCTTGTGGGCGGGGCAGGCGGCCGTTAGTGAGGCTATAAAAGTTATATTGTTTTAAACTTTCATGGTCACTAACATTACAGTAATTTATGTCATTTGGATTGTTAGCGTGTACCTTGTTTTTAGCGAGTGTTTGATATTTCGGCACTGTTGCAAGCGCCATCATCAGTTACTTCGTGATCATGGCGCTTGCTACAGTGCCGAAATATCGGAAACTCGCTTAAAACTAGGTACATGGTAAAAATCCCGTAATTAACATAAATTACTATAAAAGTACCCTTAGTAAGAGTTTTACAATTACGAAAACTATGATTGTTTTATACAAATTATAGTAATACTAGCAAACCAGTGAACCAAATGTTCACCAAAAAAAAAAAAAAGAACTTCGGAGATTTTGTGTGGTTTCGTTTGAAATAGAAATCACGTGATTTCTCGAAAACCGGAAGTGTTACGTTACTCACATCCGGTTTGTAGTAGTCTTAGTTGTAGTGTAGTCTTATCAGACTATTCTTAACTTATAACTTAAACATTCTCTATATCTATCTCATACGGTTTGGCCGCTGAAACAGCACCACGGACGGACGGACGGACTTGTCTAATAGATAAGAGATACACATACAACAAATAAAAAGTGTTTAAATTCTATCATTAAATCATTTGCGTCCTTTTAATAAGTATATTTGGTTACTTTTAAACAAAATGGACATAGAAACACAATTTAAAATCACGAAAAGTATGATAGTTTTTGTGAGCTGAAACTCGTACTAAGGGTACAGTTGTTCATTATGAAGCAATGTCTCGTTCGTCGTCGGGCTCCTGGTCTGAGGCGGCGCCTCTCGGGGACATCATCGACCTGGACCGTTTCATGCGCACCGCCAAACCTTCGCAGAACCGAGACGCTCACAGGTCAGGCAATGTCAATACTAAGTAACCACAGAACACAGAAAGAGGTAAGAAGAGCCTTGTGGGCGGGGCAGGCGCGCCATAGTTATGTGTGTGCAAATGCTAATAACTTGACCAAACACTTGGTTCTGATTGCGTCGTTGCTCTCGGCTGTGAGCGCTGATTAGTTCGATTATTTGATGTCGCGTCGTTTGATTGGCTATTATCTATTAGGTGAAAATATAGTAGGGGCGAGTCGGTGATATCGGTACCAGTACAATAACGGTCTATGATCACCCTTTTAACCTCTTTTTGTGTTCTGTGTAGGAAACCTTTTGTTTATTCATGCTAAGCAAACGGGATCGTTCTATTCTTTTCGCCCTAGGCAGGGGAGTGGGTGTGAAATCCTCGGGGATATCCTACAGCCGGCTGCAGGGTTATGTCAGACTCTTACTGATTAAAACACACTGACAACACCGTTGGGGGAGGCCACCATAATGGCTGCATCGGATTCAATCATCATATGAAACGGGGAAACAGCAATAGACTTTTAAAAACAATGCTTAAAATGGTCTCAATAATGCCCACAAAATTTGCCTAAAATATTGGGATTCAACCCCAGGATAGGACCTCGGAGTAGGATACACTTTAAAACTCGAAGAAGCTTCTACAAATAATACTTGAAATTGTTTCCTTTTGTTATGTTTATAAGTAGTTAAACAAATTATTCGAGACGAGAATCTCTTTAATAAAGATTTTATCCCTGAAACATCACAGAGGTTTAGTAGTTGATGCGGGTGAACGGTCCCGAAAACTCGCCAGTAGCAGTTCCACCACCGAAGAACGCACACGCACTCAACGCGACAAACGCTTCTCACACGACTCCGGGCTGTCTGACGGCAGCTACGCACCAAGGCGGCATCGACAACACAGGTCAGCGAATACCAGTTTTCGAGATGAAAACCGTAGTAATGAACTTGTGTGATGTCATAGCTTAATAAGGAGGAGGAGGAGGAGCTCGATGGCGCAGGTGGTTAGCGTGTTCGACTACGATCGTCGAAGTTAAGCAACTTTCGGAGTGGTCGGTCATTGAATGGGTGACCAAAAATCTTCTATCTCGAGTACCTCCGTGTTTCGGAAGGCACGTTGAGCCGTTGGTCCCGGCTGCATCTGCAGTCGTTAGCAACCGCCAAACCGCACTGGGCCCGCGTGGCCCAATCTCCCTATTCCATCCATAGGGAAGGCCTGTGCCCCAGCAGTGGGGACATTAATAGGCTGATGATAATGATGATGATCGTCATAGATTCATAAATACACCAGCGCTTAAGAGTGTAAACGCACTGAAAGCGACAACCGCTTCTCACACGACTCCCGGCTGTCTGACGGCAGCTACACACCAAGGAGGCATCGACAACACAGGTATTATGTTTGTTACCTAACAGGCACGCGGGTGTGAAATCTTCATGAATATTCTACAACCGGCTGCAGGGTAATGTCAGTCTTACTGATTAAAACACGCACGTGGGGATTCCTCTGGCCTGGGCCTCACAAGATTCATCTAATGCGATCATCCTCAAGAACATAAGTCATGCAGCGAATACACTTTTTGAGGTGAAAACTTCTTTAGGCACGTTGGGCAGTTTTGGGTCTGGAAAGCAGTGATGAATATCCGAGGTCATATAAATCACGCTTATATATACTTGAGATATAAGTGGTTTAATACAAATTAGGTTCCTTATATACATAATTGTTTATTAATTACTTAAATTCTTTTGTAATTTTTATCTTTAACTGTAGGACTGTATATTGCGATACCCTGACAGGGTTCATGTTAGGTACTATAAGCATTTTGTAACCATCGATGTAACCACATGAGTGCAATAAATTGAATTGAATATAAATACATCAACACTGAGGAGCGTATAAGAATTCAATGCGACAAACGCTTCTCACATGACTCCGGACTGGAATCTCTGGTGGCAGCTACCATCCAACCAACTAACTGCAACGGCATGGAAAATCCAGGTAAGCGAATACAGATTTTCGAGTGAAAACCTCTTTAGTAGCAATGGGCTTTTGGGATGGACAAAATGTAATGAATTCTCTTGGTCGACTCGATTTAAACACACACATTTGATTTTTATGATCTTATGATCTGAATAGTAGTGATGGTAAGCAACCTTTAATAGCTTAAGGACTTTGAGACGTTTAACGTTATAGATAGTAAAAGTTCGCCCGTGTCGCCTGGCTGATACATCACTTACGCACTTCCATAAAAATATAATTAACATAAACATAAATAATTAATATTCGAATGCTGTCTTCTATAAAATGGTTTCCAATTCAAACACGCAATTCGCTGGCCATTTTAGCATTCGCATTTGTTCGTCTCACACCAAGAGCAAGACTTAAGCGAAACATTCCTAGAAAGAATCGACCTTACTTTCGTCACGGTAATATTAAAATATTTTATATTACCGTGCTTTCGTTGCACTCCCAATGTGGGCTGCTTTTAAAGGTGGGACATATTTGAATATTTTATGTACTTTATTTACCTATGTACCATCATGGAAAGGACCCACTTACATCATACTTACTTTGTTGTTAGACGAGTCAGCGCAGAGAATGCTGGAAAGCAGAGAAACGACGTCCAACCGAAAGGTTCCGCCGGGTCCTTGCGCGCATTCCGCACAAATTGCGAGCGAACGTTGCGCGAGCAGCAACAGCAGATCGCTCGCGTCGCTCAGCTGTGCGAGCGACTGACTGACCGACGTCAGACTACTGACTCCAGCGACATGTCATCAACTAGCCAGAGCACTCGAGACCCGAGGAGGAAAGACAAGCATAGAGTATGTATAGCATGAATGTCCAAGAGCTTCTATTCTAAGCGCAACTGACAACATAACATCACGCGGCCCGTTTAGCACTGTGATCGGCTAACTGACCGAGCGACGGCAGACTACCTACTCGAACGAGATGTGTTTTACCAGCCAGAGTACACGAAACCAATTCAGGAAAGCAAATCCATACCATATCTCATGCAATCGAAAATCTAATAAATCAGACTGCAGTATTAAAGCTTTCATCAGAACAGAATATAGTTATTTGACTTTAGTATAGTTACCACGTAGGAAGGATATTGCAGAAGCTTTCTTATAGGTCAATTTGTATAAAGCATATTTCGTTTTCAATGTACAAATACGGGTGCTCCCCAATCGGAGAGCATAATATCCATCGTCCACTTTCCTGAAGAGAAACCCTCAATCTTAAATGTTTAATAGGGTATTTGACAGTATTAAAAATAAAGTGCTTTATAATTGTTAGCATCTGTGTTTAGAATGAATATTGGCAGGGGATTATACAATTAAAAAAAAAAACATAATTTTACTAAACACCCACGAAAAAGATAATAGTTTTCTTATCTATAGTCACGTGACCCAAAACGCTTGGGATTGGCGGAGCCTAAAATGACGTCACACGCAAGTAAACTTCCGCTTAAAGTGACATTTTATTGTATCGTTTGACGTTTTAATACCAGTCGTGTGACGTCACACACTAGTAAGACGCCATATTGTCCAGAAAAACGTATTCGCGGCAACTTGAAAATGGAGTTTTTGATTCGGTTATTTTTAATGAAAGACAACAGAATGATGAATATCCACTTTTTACGGACTCCATAAACATTAGTCGGTAACGTGAGATCTTTTTCTAAAACTTGTCAAATACCCTATTGGAATCTCTTCCTAGACGGACGAGTGCAAAACCTACAAAATAATCATGAACAAACTGGACGAGTTGAACCGTCTTTTCGCGGCGCGGGCGCGTTCACCTCCGCCCCAACAGCGGCGGTTGAGGCGTCCCGATCCGGAAACGCCGCCGTCCGACTCCGTGTCCGTGTCTGACAAACTGGTCGCCACTGAACCGATGCCGTCGTGTAGTCCGAGGAATACACACACGTCTACGGTAAGTGACCCACCATCAGCCTGTTAATAATAATAGTTTCTTTTTCTGCGGCCCTAACCACCGGTAACTTGGACCTAGTCCCGCTGCTGGTGGCCTTCTAGATTAGGTTTTTTTACTTTATTTATTTGTGTATTTACGGTTTTGTATTTTACTTTTATATATATTTTATAAAAATCCTAACTGTTAAATAAATGAGAGATAATAATAATAAAAACTTCCAACACTCACACCAATTGGCCTAGTCCCAAAGTAAGCACTGTAATGCTTGTGTTATGGGACTGATAGAATTTGACGACCTCCGTGGCCGATTGGTTTGTACGCCGGGTTTCATGGCGTCGCCGACTCGAGAGGTCTCGGGTTCGAATCCCGGTGGGGGCAGATGTTTGTGTGATGAACACGAGCATTTGCACTCCAGTCATGGATGTTTAATATGTATTTCTATATAAATATACTTATATATGTAAAGTATATGTATTCTATCCGTTACCCTAGTATCCCATAACACAAGCCTTATAGTGCTTACTTTGGGGCTAGGCTAATTGGTGTGTGTTGGAAATATTTATTTATTATTATTTATACATGTACTATACATTATATAAGTATATTTATGTAGAAATATATAAAGAAATCCATGACTGGAGTACAAATGCTCGTATTCATCACACAATCATCTGCCCCCTCTGGGATTCAAACCCGGTATCTCTCACCATGAAACCCGGCGTACAAACCATTATGTCCCTACTGCCCCTACTTTGGATGGAATCAGGATATTGAGCGACGCGGACGACGCTCGATGGGAAGACCCCTTACCTGGAGCTCTATTTTTGAATCACTCACTCGCCTTGCGTCGAATGCTCGATTTAAAATACTAATTTTGATTCGACATAATAAATTCCGTATTTTTGAATCGCTCGACGTCGACAAATATTGCTCAAAATTCAGCTCAAGCGCAGCTGCGCCTGTGGAAACGCAGTTTACAACGTTGGCTCTGGCTTCATCAGCAGTTGTTAGCATTCACTGAGAGCACAGGCCCAATTACGAATTTTTTGACAGCTCAGTAACGTATAGTCGCCGTCAATTTATGTATGCAAAAACTAGTTTCATTCTTAAGTCTGATATTTTTCATAGAAACTTGACGATGCGATACGTAACGGATCTGTCAAAAATTCGTGCTCGGGACGCGGATGTAGTTAACTCCGTCTCATGCAGTTATTGGATAACGAAGGCTTATGATGATATGATAACACAGGTGGTAAAAAAAATATAACTATAATTGCTATTTTCTTCTTTCAAATGTTTAATACCTGTAATGGTATTCATTACCTACAATGCGAAGAGATGGCACTGCCTTGCAGCCTAAGGCTAGAGAAAATTCGACACGGCCGTCAGGGCCGCGGTAGCATAATGGTTAACATTCACCCGGATAGCGAAGTGTGCGGGTTCGAGTCCCGTCTGCTGCCTGGACCGCGTGGATTTATTTCTAGTAATATTTTCTTTAGATTTAGACATCGAGCAGTTACATGCTTATAAAATAAAAATTATAATACAGGTGGCTTGTGATCGTGCCCGCCGCTTGTCCGCACTACGAGCTGTGGCTGCAGGGCCCGCTCTTGATATAGCACCAGCCGGCAAGTCACGCGCAGAATGTCCCAATGTTCACACTGAAAGGTTATTTAGATTATTCATCATCATCAGCCTATTAATGTCCCCACTGCTGGGGCACAGGCCTTCCCTATGGATGGAATAGGGAGCATTGGGCCATGACCCACCACGCGGGCCCAGTGCGGATTGGCGGGTGCTAACGACTGCAGATGCAGCCGGACCAAAGGCTTAACGTGCCTTCCGAAGCACGGAGGAACTCGAGATAGAAGTTTTTTGGTCACCCATCCAATGACCGACCACTGCGAAAGTTGCTTAATTTCAACGATCGCAGCCGAACGCGCTATATATTATATAGTATTTAGATTATTACTTACTTTTAATATTTTATCAATTCTTTATGAGATATCAGGGGCGTCGCCAGCCGATGGCCTAGGGAGCAAATTCATATTCATAAATGAACGGTGTAAAATAGCGTCACATACATTTGCATGTCTCCTAGGGTTACCTTTTAGGAATTTTAAAAGTCCTGACAAACATACTGACATTTTTTTAAAAGTCTGGACTTTTTAGTCACACAATTTGTACCATTACTTACTTAGTTACAATGGTATGGTATTTAAATCAATACTAATGTATTTTTATTATTCATATTCATTGTAAGTAATTTAAAAACTCCGGACAATTAGTGATCCGGACAAAGTACGGACTAGTCTGTCCGGACATGTCCAAACTAATCTGGACGTATGGTAACCCTAAGCGCAAGCTCGTCACGTCGCGTCATCTTGTAATAATGCAGAAATATTGTCGTCTCGTTGACGTTGAGTGGTATGACACAAAGCATTCTACGCTTAGATTAAAACAAAAACCCCCTTATTAATAAACAAAGACTAAGCTTGGATTAGTTACTCTATGTTTTGTCTCTGTCTATTGAATGACAAATGACATTTGAGCTTTGAGTATATCATCATCATCAGCCTATTAATGTCCCCACTGCTGGGGCACAGGCTTTCCCTTATGGATGAAATAGGGAGATTGGACCATGACCCACCACGCGGGCCCAATGCGGATTGGCGGGTGCTAACGACTGCAGATGCAGCCGGGACCAACGGCTTAACGTGCCTTCCGAAGCACGGATTTACCACGTCGTAAATGCCGTAAGCATTTGAGTTATATGAACAAAACACGGCGTTACTAGTCCAAGCTTAATCCTTGTCAATTAATAAGGAGGAAAGGGTCTACGCTAGATTTGTAGCTTTCTTCACCTTAGAGCAGATGGTCATGTTTATACGCGTATGTAACTCTTTCTCGTTCACATATATTGAAGAAGAAAATTTTGCTGTTTTAATATTAAAAATTGATTATACAGTGTAGTGAAGCGCGAATCCAGCGATGCATCAAGCTCCAGCTGCTGTGACCCCCATCACGGGTTCGATCTGGACAATCCTGTGCATGTGAGATTATTTACTGGACATTCTTCATTTTTAGGTGCCTATCCTCTAAAGATAAAGTGTAGCCCTTATGGGATCACTTTGCTGTCCGTCTCTCAAGAGCCCTTTTTCCGGAATTACTCCCTACTGTTCCAAATGTAAGGGCTAAAACTATTAAGCGAACGTCCGCGAGCGAGGTTTCATATAAAATTGTTCCGTCACGGAGACTCGCGCACGCGGGCAATTTTGGATATCGGCCATTGCGTAAGTTACTAAACTTCCTAGGAATTTTACAATAACGAGTATAATTATCCGCGTTTAGGCAAAATCCCTGGGATTAACGCGTAAATTCGATTTATCAAATCATCTTAAGACACGTCACATCACCAGCCTATTAATGTCCCCACTACTGGGGCACAGGCCTTCCTTATGGATGGAATAGGGAGATTGAGCCATGACACAACACGTGGGCCCAGTGCCGATTGGTAGGTGCTAACGACATGCAGATGCAGCCGGGACCAACTGCTTACCGTGACTTCCGAAGCACGGAGGAGCTCGAGATAGTAAATTTTTTGGTCACCCATCCAACGACCGATCACTGCGAAAGTTGCTTAACTACAACGATCGAACCGAACGTGCTAACCACTTGCGCCATCGACAAGACACGTATAACAAATATCAATGTTTCGCCAGTTGTACGCCCAAGCGAAACGTCTGCAAGCTCTGCACGCGACAACGACGCATCGACGCACGCGCAGCGTAGAGAGCCCCCGTGGATCTACATTGTGCGCCTTGTGCCGTGGCTACTTCCGATCGCTGCGTCAATACCTCACCGCGCAACTGCTATGCTGTCCGGCCGAATCTTGCGTGTACTAGAGTCTGTGCGGAAAGAGAATGGGATTTAAATTTGAGGGCGCAGTAGTACTTTTCTACCGTATTTGTAAGATTTTTACCCCTTTTAGATATCTTTAAATACAAAAAACCGCAAGACATCACAACAATAAACAAATCCGTATTAATACAAAACTTCGACGTTTGACAGATGGCTGGGTTGGATTGCCATATAAAAATCTGAATGTTAGTTCCGTTTTTCGCCACGCCCGTTCTCTTTACGCACAGACTCTAGTATAACCAGCGGGTTACCATTGAAAAGCCGGAAGCTGTAGATTGAAAATGAACCTATTATTTGTACATATTTCGTTAGCAATGGTGCTAATCAGTAAATTGTTCTTTATTTGTCAAGTTTTATCTATAGGTAGGTAACTGATTCGATTTAATCATCTGTGTTGTTATTATTTCGAATTTGTTTTCAAATTGGTTTATTAATAATTATTTTTTGGAACTACCTAACTGTTGTTTCATTTATTATTTTTATTAAACATAATAGTTAAACAAAAATTACTTTTATTAATATCAATGTATTTCTTTTCCTTTACTTTATTTACACACTAGCGGCCGCGCGCGACTTCGTACGCGGGAAGTTAGTTAGAAATAAAGTTCACTGCTCGTTCCCCGCAGGTGATTCTTCTTCTTCTTCGGCGCTACACTCTTGACAGAGTGGTCGTATCGTCACATCAGGGTTGGTGGCGCGCCTCACAATACGCCGCCATTCGTTCCGCACTGCGGCCTTTCTCGTGCACTCGTGAAGTGGACCGTTCAGTGCCGCTTTTATCTGGTCAGTCCAGCACATTGGTGATCTGCCGCGCGCCCTTACGCCCTCGACTTTGCCCTGCACCACCAGTCGTTCCACTGACGCATCTTCTCGGCGTGAGATGTGGCCAAAGAAAGTTAGAATACGACCTTTTACGATGGAAGACAGACGTTGTTTGACGGACAGTTCCTGGTGGATGGATGCATTGGTTCGGAATTGTGTCCACTGTATGTTAAGCATTTTCCTCCAGCACCACATTTCTTAAGCGTCTATCTTCTTTTTCTCACTCTCTCGCAAGGTCCACGTCTCAGAACCATAGAGGAATATGGGAAACCCTAATGCCCTGACGAGTCGTGTTTTCGTGGCTTTTGTGATGTTCCTGTTTCTCCATATTTTTGAAGTTTGTCCATAGCTGACCTCGTGATGGCCATGCGCCGCTTGACTTCATCTGCACATCCACCGTTGCCCGAAATCAGTGCTCCAAGGCAGATGTATGACTGAAAGACATCGCAGTTCGCGAATTTAGTAATTTCTGGCGAGTTGTTATTAGCACGATCGACAATTATAATCTTGGTTTTACTGCGATTTATTTTCAGACCAAAATCACGACTAACTTGTTACATTTTGCTTAGCAGATTCCATGTTACTGGCGCTTGTTGCAAACAGTGTGGCGTCATCCGCATACCTCAGATTGCAATTGCCTCCTATATTGCCGCCTGACCAATTCTCCAGTGCTATTCTCATAATGTGTTCTGTGTAGGTGTTAAACAGTATCGGAGACACGATACAACCTTGTCGGACTCCGGCACTGGGGTGGAAATGGTCCGATAAAATGTCGTCTGCTCTGACAGAGGCTGTTCCGTCTTCATATAGTCTTCTCAAAAGGTGAACAAGGTGTTTTGGTGTTCCCATGTCCAGGATAGTCTCCCAAAGTACTGGCCACCTCACCGAATCGAATGCTTTTGAGAAGTCCACAAAGCAGATGTAGGATGGCTTATTGAACTGCAGGTGATAGCGTCATAATATATAGCCTATATGCACCCGACTTCTTAATAATATTCGTGCCAAATTTGAAGTCGATCGGCTTTGGTATCGATTGTAGATCACACCCCAAGTATTCCTTTAAAAAAATCAATGTATAGTTTTTACTTTCCTAACATTTTATTATATGTATAGATGATGTGCCCAGGTAAAGCAATTTGATAACGGCTGACATGGTGACATGTTAATTTTAAAATTTTAGACTTGAAAGCCTTGTTCCATGATTTTAAGAATGTGGACAATAGTCAACCTAAGGGCTGATACACACCGGAATGGCAGCGGCCGGCCCGGCAGCGACGCGGCGAGCACTTCTAGTGTGAAATAATTTTAAATTTATATACTACATACTTAAAATACCAGAAGCTCAAAAACTCTAAAATTTTGATAAGTAAACTATTGCTTTACTGAATTTCAACGTGGGATAAAAGATTAGTTAACTAGTAGTAAATTTACAATGTGGAATATGTACTGGTTTTGTTTTTTTACTGAAAAGAATTAGGATAAGTTATTGTAATCAATAAACAAAGCTATTGACATCGTACACCTGTAGAGTCTGTGCGGAAAGAGAATGGGTTTTAGATTAAAGGGCGCTGTAGTACTTTTCTACCGTATTTGTAAGGTTTTACCCCTTTTAGACATGATTAAATATAAAACACCGCAAGAAATCACAACAACCAACAAATCCGTATCAATACAAAACTTTGACGTTTTACAGATTGCTGGGTATGATTGCCAAATAAAATTTTCAATGTTGTTTTCAATTTCAATTATGTATTTCTATATAAATATACTTATATATGTACATTATATGTATTCTATCCGTTACCCTAGCATCCCATAACACAAGCCTTATAGTGCTTACTTTGGGGCTAGGCTAATTGATGTGATTGTTGGAAATATTTATTTATTTATTATTTTATTACTTCCGTTTTTCGCCACGCCAATTCTCTTTCCGCACAGACTCTATCAATGGCATTTTTATTATATTCACATTGATTAAGTAATTATGGTCAATTGAAATAAATTGTTTTTTTGCACTAGTCACTACACCCGAAAATGTTCTCCCAATGTCCTTGCTATATTTTGACTTTTTTCAGAGTGGGATCGATTCCGTAATGATCGATTCCCTAAACTTAAAGCTAAATTTAACATCAGTCTCTCCTTATCATTCTATATAGAGAATGACAAGGATACATTGTTCTCGGATTTAATTCAAGGTTTAGACTTTAGGTCAAATTTAATTTTAGAGGAATCCTGCCAGACGCAACACCAGTGTTACCCAGATTTATTGCTACAGTGTGTGACCTCTCCTTTTCAAGTGATAATGATCTTTTAAGTATGTAGTGTAGCTAAAGTAAGAAAGTTTAAAATTATTTCACACTGAAAGTGCTTGCCGCATGCCGTGTCGCTGTCGACCGCTGGCATTCTGGTGTGGAATGGCCCTAAGGCTGCGTTTCCACGTTTCCATCAAAAAGGTAATGAGTGGAGTTTTCTTTTTGTTTAAATTTTGACGAAACGTAAGTGGTTATAATTGTAATTTATAATCTATGGGACATTTAATTGAATGCATACCAGTGCCTGAAATAAAAATGATTTATTATTATTATTAAAGACTACACTATTTTAACTGATTGCAAATAATATGTATTTACAGCTCAGCTTAGCTCATCTTCACCTTGTTCCACTCTGCTCATCTACACTTCACACAGTTCCGCTCGGCTCAACTTTAACCAGCTACATAGCTAGCTAGGGCTGCCATCCGTCCGGGTTTCCCCGGATTTGTCCTAGTTTACGGGGCGTCCGGGGAGCGTCCGGGCGGGGTTTTATTTGTAGTCCGGGTTTAAAAATTTACGGCAACGCATGAGTGGCCCTTGGTGCTGCAAATGTCCATGGGCAGCAGTGACCACTTATTATGAGGTCGCTAGCTATTTTGCCTAGATCAACATAAAAAAGTTGATTTGTGACATTTTTAACTGTTTTTTTATTGGTCTGTCCGGGTTCTGGGCTTCAAAATCCGGGGTTATCACGCGTCTTATCCTGGTTGCTACATTTTAGAGATGGCAGCCCTATACATAGCTAAGCTCAGCACGGCTCATCTTCATAGAGCCTTAATGGAAACATTTGCCCAGTTAAGTCAGCTCAACTCCACACAGCTCCGCTTCTGTGCAAACGCACCCTTTAGCACAATTTAAACCCCGAAATAAAAGAACGAGCTATACTTTACCAGCCTGTAAAAGGTTGGTTAGTCAAGTATGTTTAAGAAGGTTCTATAACTGTAGACGCAGCTGGGACGGTAAGCCTTGCCTTCTGATAACAGAGGAGAAAAGCATGAAAATGTTTGGTCACACATCCCATCAAAAGTCACTTCCGCATTGCTTCCATTATTTATTTGTTGCTTAATTTTCATAAAGCAGATAAAACACGCTAAAAAATTCAAAATTCAATATCGGTTATTCAGTCTAGGCTGTTACAAGCACTTGTGAATGTCGAAAAGCTACACCATCGGTTCGCAAATCTACGGCGGGAGACCTTGTACTGAGAAGAACCGGCAAGAAACTCAGCAAAGGCTGTTTTTTTCTCCCTGTATTATATACAGAGTCGTCAAATTGAAAAATGACTTCAATATGGGGTAACTCATAAAGTCACTTTCCATTACAAATGCAAATGATATAAAAGTTATGACTATAAAATAAAATAAAATATAAAAAACTGGTTTAACAAAGTTTCGGAATGCCGTGTCCTACTGTTTAGGCAAAAAAAATAATAATGAACGATTAAAGTTTAATACAACGATTAATAGTACCCAATAAAGCAAGAGCAGACTCATCTCTGCTGGCAGCACCCGTTCACGAGCATGACGCATGAACCAGCCATCGCTTCGCTCAACCATTTTTTAGGGAACGCAACGACCCGCCTCAAACGACATAAATGAGTACGAAGTACTTCTCTAGCGACTCTGTAAGGGTTTTTATGCTAGATAGAGAATCCTATAGAAATTTACAGAAGGACAGTTAGACAGGTAGGTACGTGAACCTGTACAGGTTTCATGGAAATAATGGAAATCTAACGTTTGAGTTGTACCATGATTACTGTATGCTGTAATCCCCTCTTGCAGATCATTGATCTGTCAACAAAACTTATAATACAGGCAGCTTTGTTAGAAAAAAAAAACTTAATTCTGCCTGTCAGTGTAACTTTGACATCAAACCAGCAGAACAGAACAAATGAACTTTTCGACCATGACACGAGTAAAGTGAAATTATCAGTGAATTATAAAAATCGTAACAATATGTAGGGGAACGACTCTGGAACTACGAACACCCATCTACAATATATTATACAATGAATCCGAGGACTAGTTTCTGGTGGCTACTCTGTATTATTGTGCAGGTGAGCTCTTTGACAGTTGTTAAGTCCTGATATATCTGCCACAAATTGTGTATCTACTGTAAATTACCTGATTTGTTCACACCATTCCACGAAAGCTTAGTTCAGCAATTATTATGCGACAGCAATCCATATTTACTCCTCAAATGTTATGGCAGATTTACACAGGATTAGTTACAGACTCCAAATCGGTCAGTACTGGCACAAAATAGTTTGTACAGAAGGTAATCTCATGTCGTGTATGTACTTCACTTTTTATATCTATGCTCGGCGGTCCCTCTAGGATAATCAACTTTGGCTTGTGCACAAAAAAATCGTAGTAGAAGCACTCGTACCTAAGTATCTAGTTTTTATTTATTGTAGTTTAGTATTTATTGTTGAGAATGAAATAATAATAACCAATTATAACTAAAGTATTACGATTTTAATGTTATTGTTATAAATTAGGTACAAATTAAATAAAAATACGACAGTTTACCGTTTAATGTTGAGTACAAACAACCTTCCACTGAAAAAAAATAACGTTTTTTTTAACTTTATTGTCCATAATTATTTACACAATAAAGATCACAGACGCGTGTCTCAAGCGGATGGAACTCAGGCTCGCACTGACCCCAAGCGGTCTGAGATACCGTGTCCGTGAGCGAGCGGTGTCTATGTGTGCGTTGCTCGAGCGCACTTTGTATGTAGATTACCTTCTGTACTATCGATTTTGTGGTACTGGCGTCCGAGAACTGAACTCTCTCAGTTTACATAGAGTTGTAGTCGTGATGTCGGCGATATACAACAATGCAACTGACCCCGTGCTTTATCTTGCTTTTACGCTTAGATTGCAGCTATATGAAGTCAAACAGCCAAAAAAGGCATCTAACAAAAAAAAATATCTAATATGACTTTTGATATTGAGCCTACAATCCCCTACCCTGTGGAACTCCGGAACCTTATTCACCGACAGAAACACTACCAACGGGCAGGGTTTTTTTTTACTGCGGTCTCATGTAAGGTGGAGGTTAGCTTATATTCGAAGACGGACTCACCATTTTTTTATTTGTTCATTACCTACATTATAAGTTGATGACGGGTTGTGTTGTGATGTGGAGAATTTGATAATAATTATCGAATACAACGCAATCCTTAATTCAAAACCCCAAATTCTTATGTGCCTACTCTACCTAATTTAGCCTATAGAAAAGGCCCATTAGAATTCGAGATCACGTCGAGATGCAGCCAGCGAGGTCGTATGGGTGGTAAAGAGAGAAACAGATGAGTTCTAAAATTATTTTTTATTTTAGCTTATAATGTGAATTTGTGTGGTGTCGATTGGTAGGTATTCGGCGCGGTCGCGTGTTGCAAACGAAAATCTTCGTGCCGACCACCGCGGTGCCCTGGCGGTTGCAAACCGAAGTATTGGTGATATCAGTCAACATACTTGCTGGAGTTAGGTGGAAATACTATGGTAAGTCTGAACACGTGCAGCTTTCTTTAAAGCTTATTTACTTGCTACTTATATTTAGGAATGTGTAAATGGTTATTAATAAAATAGGACTTACCTTAATTATGAATCGTAACCAGGCATAAACCAATAAATATAAAGGGAGGCCTTCTTAATTTTAGTCTGTGCATCAGCCGAAGGTTATTCAGTAAAGTTTATTTCACAGTTATTTAATTTGTAGAGTTGTTTTGAGTTCCCAAGATTCGGACTCGGGACATTAGGGAAGATCGTTGAGCTGCAGAAGCGCTGACGTTGTACCAACAAGTCGTCATCTTATTTATATCCAATTATTATTAATAATATTTTTATTCAACACATAGAAAGACCATTGGTATATTGAGTATGACATGATAAATGGATCCTGATGGTATATTGAGTACGAGCAAAGACAAATACGCCGCAATAAACCTTTGATATAAGAAGAGCAAATAAAACCAAAGTCAGTTTTGCTATTGCAGAATTGTCAGGTGTTAATTTTTATTGCAGGAGTTGGTGGCCTTAGCTTGGTCGGTCTGGTGGTGGTTAGTATGGATGGTGGCCAGTGCTCACGGCTGCAAAAAGAAGACTATATGCCGTCCACCGCCAGGGGGCAAGCCCGGTTGTGCGCGGAGATGGTAAATGTTTTTATTATATCCTTTCTATTCAAAAGAATCTTGGTTGAATAGGTCTGGAAAATAATAGAGTAATGAAGACCATGTGTGGTCATTGTGTTCATGTTCACGACGCATGATTTTTTATGTTTGAAAAGTGGCAAACAAGCGTAGGGCCCGCCTGATGGTAAGCGGCCACTATAGCATATATAGACGCTTGCGATAAGACCCCTCTTTCCCAGTGGGCACTTTGGGCAAGTGCCCAAGGCCCCGCGATCGATAGGGACTAGGGACCTTGTACTCAGATCAAGTACAAAGTCCCTAGTTCCTGTTAAATCACCAAACGGAGGTCATAGGGGCCCCATTATCCTAATATGCCCAGGGCCTCCAATAGGTCAAAGACGGTTATCTTCCCTGACCCAATCCCCAACCCCGTGGCCTCCACGGTGGAGCCCTAGAACCTTATTCGCGGGCAGAAACACTACACCACCAAAAGGAAGTGTTATTTTACCGTGGTCCTATGTATGGAAGTTTTCTCCCGATGGGCGCTCTAATTGCAGCGGAAGTACGCTGCAATTAGAGCGCCCATCCTCTACGAGCTACCTACCTCTTTTGAATGTAGTTCTTACTGTTGGTAAGATTTCAGGGCTCATTATAGGACTTTGTTTTTAGTAATCATAATCTTTAGAGTAGAAATTAGGTTAAGTTAGGGTAGGTAAAGCGTTAGTGAAATTTTGGTATCACTAGCGTCTTTGTCTGTCTGTAATGACTTGGGCCCGGATTAATATGTAAATACATATTTATCGTATGTGTTCTCTACCTAGATTCTCACATATATAAGGTTAAAAACTAATTTTTATTTTCCATATTTCATTGTTTACTCCATATTTTACAAAAAAAATATCACAGTCATCCTTATTTTCGATTTTTACAGCATAAAACATGAGTAAGTTCACAAAAATTGATAAAATTATACGTTTTGCATTCTCGCCACCAGACGGCCGCGCGCTTCATTTCTCTCGCGTATTGTTCGTCGTAATTAGATTTTTGATTGTCTAAATTCATTTATTCCACATTGTCTAGCCTCGCGCCGCGGTACTAGCGCCTAGCAAGCGCTAGGCTAGAACTAAGTAGGCGTTTTTAAATACGCTCTCATTATATCCTGTGACGTGGAAAAATCTTTAAGCCAATATAAGGCTATATTTAGACCAAATCGACAGTTTTAATTTCGATAATTAAAAAATCATGTGATTGTGTACTGAAATCAATTTAATAAGACAGATTCAGAGAAGGATGAATAAATTTTCATTTTTTATTTGAATTACCTGAACTTTTCGCTGTCTTTTTTTTTTAATGTAACTGTTACTGTATAGTATTTTTTTCTCAATAAACAGTGTTTAATTGAAAGATTATCTTATTTTATACTCCATATTTTATTTCTTTTTGTCCATATTATATGTCTATATTTTGAATACCTGCCCTAGTTATGACAGTTGAAATTTTCACAGAAGATACCTATATTTCTGATGCCGATTTAACAAAAAATGCCACTTAAAACAGTAAATAAATATTAAGACAGACTTCCTTAAAAATGACGTTTTCTTTTGCTCAATTTAATAATAAGTGTAGGTATGTTGTAAAGATAATGGTACAGAACCTCACTTGGCAGGTTTTTTAATAAGCAATGCAACTAACAATCAAAATATCCATTATTATAAAAATCTGGATCCAGACATGCATTGTATCGGCTAGGCTAATTGGTGTGAGTGTTGAAAATATTTATTTATTATTATATTATTATTATTATTGTGCCAGACACTCCTACAAACCAACACTGGACTGTTTAAAAAATACCTTGATAAATACAACATACTATTTTATTTTCTTCATATTTTCTTTTCCACAGAAAAATGTTCCAGAGTGGTGGAAGAAAATAATGGCATAAACTTCTCTTCAAACTTGCTATATTTGTCTACAAAATTATTAAAAAAAATTGAATTTGCCATAATCTTAAGTAAATAAATATTATGATGTGTGAAAGATGTTATAAATAAAACATATTGACAGTTTTATGATTTTTTTATTATTTTTCTTAAAAATAAACTGTTACACTAGAACATCAGTAGTTCCTGAAACAAAAGAAAGATTCACAAAGTAAATTATTAGTGTTAAAAAATTATAGGCGATAAGACTGTTATGTCAATCTTGAAATGAGAAATAGTTTGGTTTACAATCACTAGGATTGAGAAAATGGTCACAAAAACAGGTCAATAGGGAAATTATATATTCAAAAGGTCAGAACTACTTTGTAAAGTAAGATTCTATGGATTTCTAATTAGATTTTTGAAACCTTAAATCCATAACTTTATTCAAAATTTTGCATGTGAAATAAATACTAAAGCTCTATGGAGGGGCAGACTACCAGTAAGCAATATCTTAAATTCTCTCCCCCTCATTCCAAAACGTGGACTTAAGTTATTCTTAGTTTAAACCTAATGTAGTATGTTTATTTTTAGCAAATAAAAGTGATAGCATCAGTTTTAGTCCAGGTTTCAGTTAGTGTTTTCTTAGGTTTTCACGCAAACCACTCATTAAATAAAACAAGTTTCATAATTCTGACGATGCAGCCTGAAAAGGATGCGAAACGTCAATAAACAAATAAATCAGTACATCTATACTGTTGAAACTTGTTGTAACAACTTATTATTAAATCATTTCAAATAAACATTTTGTTTTAAGGCAGAATATATTTTAAGTAACAATTAGATTAATATGCCTTGATCTGAGATTGATAGTCTACAGATTAGTCATTAGTCATAGTTAAACAATCATAATAAATTTACCCTCACCATCACTTAACCTCAGGTGGGGTGGAGTCATTTGTATGACCTATGTATAAGAAAAATATATAGAATGATGAAATGTTGGTGATGTATTAGTACTCACTTAGTCAATATGCCATCCTTCTTGGTTAGGCGAACAATGCAATCATCAGATTCTCCCATACGTCTGATGGCTCCGCACACCACATAGATCTTGGAGGTCTCAGCGGCCCTGCCAGTGGCTGGGTCGACATCGGCTATGACGAGCTGCACTGAAGCATGGTCCTTAGCGTGGATGAGACGGTTGCTGGCCGAGCTGAAGTAAAATAATTTAGATTTTAACAACGATATCAAGATTCTAAATTCTGCACTAATGAATGCTAGAGTTGCTCTAAGTTTCATGACATGGACACGACCGGACTATATAAATTACAAAGTTGAAAAAGAATAAGATTTTGACTCTTCACATAAAATTACATAGTGATTATGGTGGAAAGTATATATATTATTGTTGTTAGCAATAATTATATTAGTAGAAATATTTTAAAATTAAGAAAAAATGTGCCAATCAAAACAGATTTATGCTTGTTACCCAGCATGACGTGATAGCACGCGGAAACGAAGACATGAAATCAACAAGCTGTTTATTATTTTCGTTTATTATCAATATTAAGAACAACTCCAGAACACTCACCATATTCGGCAAGTTAATCAAATTGCACTATGCCTTTATAATTGTAGTATTACAAGACGAACAATTAACAACATTTGTTTATAACCTCAAACGTACCATTTCCTCGGGCAGTACAAGTCAACGAATTCACCGGCGTCGTTCTGCATTTTGTGTTTCTGTAATTGGAAATGAGACACAACACTTAAAAAAACTGACACAAATTACACGATTTGTAATTACAAAATATTCTTAAAATCTAACCTAAAGTGGAGCACGGACCTTGCAAGTAAACGTCAGAAGCAAAAAGAAAGATGGCCGTGGGGCAGTGCTGCCAGGTTTTAATATTATTTTACCCTTTACATGGTCACAGTTTACCCTATATTTCGTGAAAAAAGAAATATACCGATCGCCAATAATGCAATTTTGATGCCTAAAGTTTTTATGTACTATTTGTAGAGAGCGAACATTTATGCGAACAAACAAGAACATTCGATTCCATTACGATTGTGGAAGTTAAGCAATATTGGCTATGGTCCGCCATCAGATACCTACAATAGTAGGTGACCAAAAATATATCATCTCGAGCACTTGTTTGCTTCGGAAGACATGTTATAATATGTTAGGTACTGTACTTTCGAATGCAGTTGCAAATCGATGTGTCTGAAGAATGGCATTTGCCATATCAGAGTATTATGCGCGACTTTATTTATACCAAAAAATTGTTTTCCCATATTAATTTTCACCCTATCCTGGGACAGTCTGGCTGTCCTTTCTCGGGACGAAAACTATCGTTATACTTACCAAATAATATCTAAATCGGTTCAACGGTATACACATGAAGAGATAACAAACAGAAAACCTTTTAATTGTATGGATTCAATCTATGGAACTCGTGGTATAATTTAATGCACTTTAAATGCTCACGGCTATGAATGATTTATTACATGAAACTCATTAAATTTTTGTTTGCATTGTAGTCAGTAAAGTTTTTACTGAATAATATGTAAAAAAATATCAGTTAGTTAAAAATATTGACCAGAACAGGTTCTCTGCCTGGACTGCGTGGAATTTTTTGTAGTAAAAATGCTTTAGATTTAAACAGCGAGTAGTTAAAAAGAAAAATATCGAGTTGCATGGCGACACATTGCAAATGCATCAGTGATACAGGAATTGACCGAAACATAACCACGACCACTCTGTCAAAAGTGCACGACTAGGAAGAGGGTTAAATGCTTCAACCAGCGATATTTTCATTTTATTTTTTATCTTTGCTCCAAATAATACCCCCAACATTATGTTTGGGATATATTTTTTACTTTAAGAATAATTTATACCTTATGCTTTTCCCCGCAATGTCATTTTTCTCTTAATCTAGGGTAAATACCCTAACTTGGCAACAATAGCGTTTTTTTTAAATCTTCTCATAGTGACAGACAATGGATACTATCTTTCTTCGTCTTTCATCTGTGCAGCCAAAATATTGGGTATCCATCATAATAACATAAATTCTTCAAGATTATTGAATAAAAATGTAACCCTTGTAATTCTAAAACTTATTGACTTCCCATTGTCAGGTTCCAGCTTCATTGTGTAGGTCCTGGATAACTTCTTACTAGTAATAACCTTCTTGACGTTTTGTTGGTGTTGTATTTATGTTGCTGAGTTGGTTCCAGGGTTTATTTACACTAATATTATAAAGAGGAAAAGTTTGTATGTAAGTTTGTTTGTAACGAATTGGCTCAAAAAGTACTGGACCGATTTTAAAAAATCTTTCACCATTTGAATGCTACATTATCACTGATTAATATAGGCTGTAGTGTATTTTCAAAAAAGTTGGGGTTCCGTATGAAAACTTCGATAATGTAACAAAATGTGTGTAAAATATACAAAAAAATGTACTAAAGTTTTATAGAGGATTAAATATCTACAAAGAAGTCCGCGATACCATGTGTCCTAACTATTACAGTTATGTCACAACGAGAGGTCCCCTGCGGTTTCACCCGCGTTAATTTGAAGAAAAAGGTTTATAGTGAGTCAAACTTAAAATATGTAGGTACATATGCTGTCGTGGACCTTTTTACAGAACTTTTAAAGGGGAAGAATTCCGTCATACATGATTTTTGTGTAACTTTAACCATTTACCCAGCGCAAGCAACGGAAAGTCACAAATAGAATATTTTTACCCGTTTTTGCAACATTTTTGGGTAATATTTAGCCTATAGCCTTCCTCGATAAATGCACTGCCCAATACAAAAATATTTTTTCAAATCGGAACAGCAGAACAATTTTGCATTTGGTACGACGGGTCCTAAACTACGCAACGAATTTTTTACTTGGAATGGAAGGTTTATAATTATTATGAAGAAAGTCATTGTATATATTTTATAACACAAGCCTTTGAACAAAAACTATAGTCTACACTACAGCTCTACACCGAAGCAAAGCGAGGGCGGGCCACTAGTATTTTTATATACATACATAGGTACTAGTAGGTGCCCACAACGTTGTCTGTGTGTATTAATTGGTTTCCCCTTTTAGTAGGGGAGCCCAAGCGGAGATTTTTGGATTTATTCGAGCGCGGCAGAAAGCGTGAACAGGTAAGAGACATACACTTTCGTATTTATAATAGTAATATGATAGCCTTCCTCAATAAATGAACTAGAGAGGACACAGGATAATTTTCATTCAATCATCGTGAGTGGGTGAAAATGGTAGGGGAGCCCAAATGGAGAGTTTTGGATTTACTCGAGCACGGCAGAATAATATACGAGGGGCAATCTTGCACCTAGTTAAGTACTCCCACTATACCTGAGCCTTCTAGTCCTCTAGGCCGAAAAAATTTTTCAAACCAACGGCCATGACTTTTGGTCGCGTCCAATAATTTTGTTAATGTCTCACGCGCTCGATTTTTTATTTCTATATTCTACCCTTTCTTACGGCCTACTTACATAGAAATGTAGGGCCGAACGTTAAGGGCAGCCAAAAAAAATTTTAAACGAACTGTCATAACTTTGGTCGCGTCCAAATCGTCAGTCATAATCATAATCAAACTCATTTATTCAGTTTAGGCTGTTACAAGCACTTATGAATGTCTAAAGGCTACACCATCGGTTCGTAAATTTACGACGGGAGACCTTGTACTGAAAAGAAGCCTTGTAAGAAAGACTAGAGGAAATTGGACACGGCCATCAAGCCCGCGGTAGCATAACGGTCAGTGCATTCGCCCGGATAGCGAAGGGTGCGGGTTCGAGCCCCGTCTTCTGCCTGGTCCTCGTGGATGTTTCTAGCAAAGTTTTTTTTTTTTTTTTGAATACAATTACTCCATAGGCGTATGCCATTATTTAGTTTGACTTTTTTTTAAGTTTTGTTATATACATTTGTTTGTGCACTCAGTGCGGCCTTTTATATTTAATCATGCAAACATGCGGCATGCTCACTTATGTCTACTTAACTAATATAAAGGAGATTGCTCAGCTTCCATACATGTTTGGCCTAAAAACCAATAACCATGAAAAATTGTTTCCTACATTCGAAATTATATATAAATTACCGTAGAAACGAATATTATCGACGGCCAATCCTGAGAACTTCTATAAACCATATACACTGAATGATTTTGAGGTTATGTTTGCAAATAGGCACATAGGTTTTAGAATAATAAAAACCAAATAACTTATATAGGAAAATAGGGCAATCAAGCCAAGTACCGATATTATGTATTAGATTCAGGTATATAGAGCATGTAAAATAACAGATATGTGCATGTTTTTAAAAACACGAACAGAAACTGTGTGATGATTGTGAATGAGCCACACACACCCACAGATTAGAGAGAATTTTTAAACTCTCGTTAATCAAAGAAAGCTAAGAGCTGTAGGTTATACAGCCATATCTTCAGCAGCTTCATTATTTTTGTTATGTTTTTATTATAACCATATTTTAGATTTTTAGTGTATCACACCTTATAATGTGTTTATTTAGGTGTTTGGCAAAAAATGTACGGCAATAGACTTTATGATGTCGCCTACCATCTATATTAATTGTCTTAGCACATTTGCATGTAGTAAAAATGATAATAAAGTTGTGGATATTAATACCACCCGTGTAATAAAAAAAAAAATATTTTATCAATCTTTACAAAATAGATTTGTTTTGATGTTATATAAACAACCTCGATCAGTCTTTGTGAATGTTACTACACCCATAGCCAATAAAAATGATTCGTATGTTTTCCAAACCGGTAAAAATAGAAGTCCTTTTTTAAAATTAATATATTATTTAAAGGTGGCCGTTAAAATCTAATGACTGTAAAATAAAGTATAAATTACGCCAAGAATTACTGTATATGTCAATATTTTATTTGCATTTAGGCCAATTTGACCAATCTCCTTTGGACATAAATTGTCCATCCCCTTTTTAATGAATATTCTATTATATGTATACGCTTTTTTTTTATTTGTTATTTTTTTCTTTTTTTTTTCACTTATTATCTATTGTACATGCTTTGTGGAACAAAAGGATTTTCAGTTTATTCTATTTGTGTACCTTGTTGTTGTTTTTGCGGTCTCGGGCTCCTGCGTGAGTTCCCCTCCTACTCATCGCACGCAAGGGCCCGAGTTTCGCTATCTTTTTGGTAATTATTTAAATTTATTTGTTTATATGGTACAACATTTACTGCTATGTTTTGCTAAATAACATGTAGGTACAGTTTTACTTAAGTCTACTTGTTTCCTTAATCTATGTTAGTACATGTTTGTGTTATTTACTTATGGTAAAATATGTCATGTCCGGTGTGGGGAGGTCGGTCCAGATTTAGCTGTTTCAGACTTCAGTCAAATTTCTCATTATTATTAAAAAAATTCTTTATGTCACGTGAGGTCACGCTTTCGTAAAATTTTTACTTAAAAGTGACGTCCCGAGCGCACAGTCCACTATCAAACTTCGACGTACTTTATATCTTTGTGATTTTTTGGTTGATTGGCAAAATAAAAAATATGTAGCTATCCATTATTTATTAATAATAATCTGACTGTCGGACTAAACAAATTTTCTGCTAATTTATCCCGTCGCCATCGCTAATCTTTTTAACAAATGTGACAAAAATTTAACACACCAGGCATTGTGTCTAGATAAATTAAAAAAGCGTACTTCATACTGTTTATTAATTTATTACTTGTGTCACGATTAAAACCTGTGCTTCATGCCGCAACTGCTTTATTTTGGTAATTTAATAGCATACTGGTTGAGGATACCTAGGATACCTAGGAGGATACCGTCGGGGTACAGAAGGCTCGTACCCAGATGGTCTTGGTATCTGTGTTTGTACCCCACTGGAGGGTGGTATTTGTTGATATTGATTCACAACCGCCGAAGCACCTGTGCCTGCCGCTGCTGCACTATTTCCTGACCCGCTGCTTACTGATGTAGCTGTGTTTGTGACACCGCTGGGCTGGCTTTGCGGGTTTGCGGGGCTAGGTAGTGGCAAGCTGATCGCATAGATGCCGCTAGCGAGTGCTAGGCAAATCTGTAAGAAGAAAAAATAAAATCGGTTTATTTTTGTAAGACCTCCGTGGCGCGAGTAATATGTACGCCGAGTATGAAGGTGTCGCCTACTCTGAGGTCCTGCCCCCTGGCATGAGCACCGCGATATGATATATAACGCGTTTTTATCACGCTCACTTGTCAAATTACTATGGAATTTGACATTTAGACGAGATAAAACACGTGATATAATGTAAATTGTGGTGCTCATGCTACGGGGACTGGGTTTAAATCCCGGTAGGCAAATGATGAATACGTCTAGATCCCCCATCTGGTCTGACGCAAGCCATGAAACTCCTATCAAAATGAGATGAGGCTAGGTGTGCTTCTTGGAATAGCTTTTTCCATCCACATAAACACCTGTTAGCGGACTCGACGAAGAAGCCGGCGGGATGCGTATCGTACGAATATTGTAGGTCAAATTGAACAGATTCAGAACAGGGTACGAGCGGTCAAACCACCACCAGCACAAATGGGGACTTAAGGACACACCAGCCTGTGAGAGTCTGTGAGAGACGTTATCGAAGACTGCCCACTGTACGGCTTGAGAGAGCTATAGAATGCCTGAAAAACCAACGAAAAATATGTCCTAATCAAGAAGTGCTTGAACACGACTCAAGTCAAGAATTTCAAGTTCGCAGTGACGCGCGGACCGTTGAACAACCAACATGCCGCAGAGCTCCGGAAACAAATACATATTTACATAGGATAAGACATGATACTGGGCTTCCGTGGTCGACGCTCCAATCGGCTAACCACTTGCTGGCGACTTCTGCACGGGCGCTCCCATTCGGTTGGAAAATCCGCTATGCCCTGCCTCTCTTTTAGGAGCCCTTGGTTTTAACCAGACCCGTCTTTCCCATTGGGCACTTTGAGCAAGTGCCCAGGGCCCCGCGATCTATAGGGTCCCCCTCAGATCAAATACAAAGTCCCTACCTAGTTCCTGTTAAATCACCAAACGGAAGTCCCCTATCCTCCCTGGGCATATTAGGATAATGGGGTCGTAGGGGCCCCATTATCTTCGCTTATGTAAAAGCTAGTAAGTTGGTATTGTAGTCGGTAATTTAGGTTAGATTTCATCGAATTATATGTATTAAGCTTTTTAGTAATAAATACTGGTTAGCGTTTGGTGATCTGACTGGAACTAGGGACTTTGTATTTGATCTGAGGGACCCCATTATCCTAATATGCCCAGGGCCTCCAATAGGACAAAGACGGCACTGCTCTTAACATGGATTTAAATAGTAGTAGGTTAATAATACTCACCAGTATTATAAACCTCATTGCGCTTGTTCAGCTTTGCCTTTTCCTGATCGAATGATACAATTAATTCGCATTGGAACGCTTAAATATGTTGTAGTCGCCAATTTATAATATCACTGCCGGATTTAGGGGAGGGCAACCGGGGCGAAAGCCCCGGGGCCTCCACAAACGGGGGGCCCCCACAATAGAGACTTGGGAAAAAAAATCTTTCAAATTCCAACTAGTAGACATCTTTTTATTCTTTTTTTTTTTGCTCTTTTACCTTAACCTACAGCTTACAGTACTTTGTACATCTAACATACATGATTATTTGATTATATTATTTCAGAAATCATTGATCTATATTTGTTCACTCCAATCAGGCAATCAGTGAAATATCAAAATCTCAAATGACCCTGATAAGCACTTCCAATTCACTACCCATCTTGAGGGAGTACCCCAATCGCTTAATGGCTGAGTGGGGTGGTACTTGCCTGCAGGGCCGAATTTAAGGCAGGGCAGGTGGGGATGTGGCCCAGGGGCCTCCACAACAGCTTAAGAAATAACAACATTTCAATGGGTTAACAAGAATACAAATCCTAAGTGGCTCGGGGCCTCCACAATCCTAAATCCGGCCCTG